TGTGGTGGTGGGTACAGAAAATGATCATGTAGTGGTGGTGGGTAATTGCAGTATCCTGTAGTGGTGGTGGTACAGAAAAATAGATCTTGTAGTGGTGGTGGTGTAATTTTTAAGAAAATGATCCTCTCTTAGTGGTGGTGGTGGTGCAGAAAATGATCTACTGTAGTGGTGGTGGTGGTGCAAAATGATCTTTATGATATGAGTGGTGGTGCAGAAAATGATCTTGTAGTGGTGGTGTGGTGGTGGTGCAAGAAAATGATTCTGCTTAGTGGTGGTGGTGGTACGAAATGATTCTGTAGTGGTTGGTGGTGCCGAAAATGATTCTGTAGTGGTGGTGGTGATGGTGGTGCAGAAAATGATCCTGTAGTGGTGGTGGTGATGATGGTGGTGCAGAAAATGATCCTGTTGTGGTGGTGGTGCAGAAAATGATCATGTAGTGGTGGTGGTGGTGCAGAAAATGATCACGTAGTGGTGGAGGTGGTGCAGAAAATTATCTTGTGGTGGTGATGGTGCCGAACGATCCTGTAGTGGTGGTGGTGGTGTTGGTGGTGCAGCAAATGATCCTGTAGTAGTAGTAGTGGTGGTGGTGGTGGAGGAGGAGTGAGAGAGAGTAGAGAGCAACATTAGCAATCAGACGCCTTGAAGAATGTCAATAGTATATGTATTAGATTTCTGGATGCAATTAGAGAAGCCCCTTGAAGTCTGTGTGTAATTAGTCTATTAATTAACTTTGTGGTGGGAGTTTCTGATTGAATACCTGCACATGCTTCAGTCATCTCCCCTGTTATTTGGTACGAGAAATCTGACACAAACATTCCACATAATCATTGAAATTTAGTGGGAAGTTTGGTAGTGAAGGCAGGTGTGTTGGTTGAACTCAGGTTCTCTTTAAGACTTTGGGATATAGATTCTCAGGGTTTTAAAATGCTCACAATGGTATAATGATTTTGCTAAGACTCTACCTGAACTAATTACCTTCACTTGGCACCAGTTAGCAGATATAATTACACCGAGACTACTGTACTTTAACACCCCCCCCCCCAAAAAAAAAATCAGCTCCCAGAAAGTACTTGTTACCACAGTAAAGTATTTTGCGTAGATTTTCCGCAGATTTTTATTTAGCTCAGAATCGTATGTGTCCAAATTACCAAGCTCCACACGGGCTGCAGTGATCGTTTTTTATACAATAGAATATTATCATTTTATCTTAATCGCATTTACCTCTACTAATAAACTGTGTATATGTCTGAATATTAACTGACCCCCAGGGGTGCCTGGCCTGAAGATTAGTTGACCCCCAGGGGTGCCTGGCCTGAAGATTAGTTGACCCCCAGGGGTGCCTGGCCTGAAGATTAGTTGACCCCCAGGGGTGCCTGGCCTGAAGATTAGTTGACCCCCAGGGGTGCCTGGCCTGAAGATTAGCTGACCCCTAGAGTTGCTGTACAGATTAGTTATTTAGGGGTGCCACAGCCTGAAAGATTAGTTGGCCCCCAGGGGGTGCAGCCTGGTGTGACCCCCAGGGGTGCCTGGCCTGAAGATTAGCTGACCCCCAGGGGTGCTGGCCTGAGTGCAAGCTGACCCCCAGTTTTCAGCCTAATTAGCTGACCCCAAAGTGCTTGTGAGGTCGCTGGCCCAGGGGCACTGCCTGGCCTGACCAGGGGTGCCTGGCCTGAATTAGCCTAGCCTGGTCTTCAAGCCTAGGTGCTGGCACCTGAATCCAGCAAGCTTTGGGGTGCACAATCTGAATTAACTTGACCCCAGGGGTGCCTGGCTGAAAATTCAGCTGTTCCCCAGGGTTTCCTGAAAGGTTAGCTGATCCCCAGGGGTGCCTGAAGGTTAGCTGATCCCCAGGGGCGCCTGGTCAATCCCAAAGGTTCTAAGGTTAGCTGATCCCCAGGGGCGCCTGAAGCTAACTGATCCCCAGGGGCGCCTGAAGATTACCTGTTCCCCAAGGGTGCCTGAAGATCAGCTGATCCCCAGGGGAGCCTGGCCTGAAGATTAGCTGTTTCCCCCAGGGGCGACTGGCCTGAAGATTAGCTGTTCCCCAGGGGTGCCTGAAGATTAGCTGATCCCTAGGGGTGCCTGAAGATTAGCTGATCCCCAGGATGCCTAAAATCCTGTTGATCCCTGAGTTTCTAAATTTGTCTAGGTACCCTTGTATGCTTAAACATCATGTGCTCTTGAGGTGTCTAAACTTCATGTGATCCGGCAGTGCCTACAGTAAACTTCATGTGATCCGGCAGTGCCTACAGTAAACTTCATGTGATCTGGCAGTGCCTACAGTAAACTTCATGTGATCCAGCAGTGCCTACAGTAAACTTCATGTGATCCGGCAGTGCCTACAGTAAACTTCATGTGATCCGGCAGTGCCTACAGTAAACTTCATGTGATCCGGCAGTGCCTACAGTAAACTTCATGTGATCCGGCAGTGCCTACAGTAAACTTCATGTGATCCGGCAGTGCCTACAGTAAACTTCATGTGATCCGGCAGTGCCTACAGTAAACTTCATGTGATCCGGCAGTGCCTACAGTAAACTTCATGTGATCCGGCAGTGTAACAAATAATGTTTTTTATCGTTTTATTTACTTTTTATATCTTGACTTTATTCTTTAATTCCCTTTTCTTACTCTTAATTCTTTTTTCTATCGTGGAGAGAGGGAGATAGAGAAGGGAGGAATATGTGAGGGGAGTGAAGGAGGTAGGGTTACCTGCAGTCAGTTCCCCACCAGAGGGTCGGTTGGGAAAGACGAGAGGAGAACATGAATAGGGATAGCTGTGTTGTTACTCATGACTCACTGTATCACTACATAACACAAAGACATTTAAGATGATTTTAAAAAAGGAGAAAGGGGAGTATTAACTGATGTCGGTCACACTAGAATAACCCCGTTATAGTACATCCTTCTTTCTTCACACAGCCAAACTGTGGAATGCTCTGCCTTCTTCTGTGTTTCCATACTCATACAATCTGTCTCACTTCAAAAAGCTGGTTTTCCCTCATTTTCGTGGTGTAGATTAATATAATCTTTTTCTTTTCTTTATTTATTTTTTTTACTCTTAATTTTTCGTCCCCTAGGCCCCGTTGTTGGTCAGTGACCTGTGCCCGGGTGGGCTATTCCCTGTATTAAAAAATAAAAATAAAATAAAATAAATGTTATGCTAAATAGTGTGACCCTGGCTCGCCCATAGAACAAAAGACAAGCTCTCTTGATAATCTTGCTTTGTCTAGTGTGTGTGTATATATATATATATATATATATATATATATATATATATATATATATATATATATATATATATATATATATATATATATATATATATATATATATATATATATATATATATATATATATATATATATATATATATATATATATATATATATATATATATATGCTGATAACCACAGAGAAAACCTGTTGTGTAATTCACATCTTCAGGGGTGAGTACTCTTTCAACAGTGAATTTATATATATATATATATATATATATATATATATATATATATATATATATATACACGGTCAATTGAACTCGTGGAGGTCCGCTTAAAACGAGAAACGCGTAAACGAAATAACAGAACATATGGGATTAATTGAAATAGAGACTGGGCCGACCCCCAACTCCAATTTTTCCGACACAATACGTACGTTGTAGTAAAAATAGTATCTTAATTTTATGATGGTGTGCACACACACACATAATATAGAAGAGAAATATCAATAAGAGAATAATATACTGTACCAGGTAAAAGAAAAATCAAGGTTTAACACTTACGTTAGTAGAAGAGATGGGTCGGCATATGGGAATGGCGGCTGGTTCCGAGGCAGAGGGCAGATTAGTTGCCCTCTGGTGAATCACTCTCACTATTCACAAAGGTTTGCAGGGCCTCCCTGACAAATCCCTCAAAGTCCATATCGTCACTATCACTGACTTGGGCTGGCTGTGGTTGGGGTGGGTTGCGGGCGAAGAAGTCCGTAATACTACGCTGACGACTAGCATTGATGTTGTCATGATACATCTGGACATACGGCTCCATAATTTTCGACAGAAGGTTATTAGACACTTCATGCCGATGCTTGACTGTGTCTTTGTCAAGGATGACCTTGAATTTCTCCCCCAACTTGATGACTTCCTTCACATAATCATGGCTTGGTCCAGGTTCAAGGTTTTTCTGGGGTGGTGGTGGGTCCAGCGGAAGCCATTGTGAGGGGAATAGCGGGCACAAGAGAGAACTGTATACGCGGAGAACTGAGAACAATGAGAGTGGCCCGGGTAGGTCAGCGACTCCTTCCCTCTGGTGGCAGGGCACATCATGTTACATTAGACCAATCACAGCTAGTGGTGGAGGGAGGTAAGGATGCGTGACCCAATCACAGTCCGATAATGGTGAAGAAAAAAAGTGACTGTGCTATGCCAGTGTATGTGAAAACATATCGTCATTTCTCTACATGAGAATATGAGAGCAACACTTATATATGTTTTTGATAATGCTTACGAATGTAAAACAAAAATTCTACTCACCAATGGTGGTAAAGTCTAAAACATAAGGACAGCCAATGAATATTGTGCGAGTTTTTACTCAGATGACGTAGTCATCAGGTTCAACTCTGGCTGAAGCTGCAGCTTTCCATGAAGATGTCATAGCTGTTGCTGAAACATTTACTGAACCTGAAGTTGTTGATGAAGATGCTTATGATGCTGAATTTGATGGTGTAGCTGAAGTTGATGGTTTAGGCCTCCGAATAATAAAGCTGTCGAAAGAACCTTGCACAGCTGCTTTTTCTCATAACTCTATACATAAATTTGGTGTTTCAGACTCCAACTTCGATGCTTCACTGTGGGTTTTACAACAGAAGGCATGGTTACGTAGCTTTTTTTTTTTTTTACTGTACCTGTCCATTTGTAATTTATGAATCTTTGTTGTCTAGCTGGATGTTGCCATGAAATAATAGGGTAAATCATTTTATATACAGTTGGATTATAAAATTCCTTATTTTGTTTCCATTTTATTCTTACAATATGTTACATCACATGTGTGAATTACAAAATATTGCTAGCTAGGTAAAAACAAAATGTTATAGGCATGGGTAGAGAAATTTTGATAGAAAGTCCTACCTCTCATACCTCCCATTAACCATTACTATGAAAATGTGTGCAGTCTAGATATCATTACACCTTGTACAGGTTACAAAGAACATGTTGGTCATGGTGCACTACTACCTTGTTATCACGAACCATTAAATTTTTTTTTTTAAGATTACAGGTTCATTTATTGTTGGTCAGTATCATAACTACTTTTGAGGCAGTAATTTTTCAACAAAAAATTTAGTTCGAATTAACAAGGGATTAGTGTGATAGTCGAGAGTGCTAGTGTGAATGGGTGGTAAGAGAGGCAGCCTCATGCTCCAGGCAGCTGTGCACGACAGGAGAGAGCAAAGTGGTTAGCCGAGTCTATTGCCGCATACCCCATAGCTTAATGGCAGTTGATCTGAGGTGGTAATGATTCTAAACAAGGAAAATAAAAAGCAAACAAAACACACAAACAGGAATAGGGTGGCCAGTATGCAACAATCTGTTTGTTTGGTCATCCCAAAAATGCCATTATGATAGCCTCTTCATTTGTAAGGTCTGCAATGTACAGAATAAATGCATATACAAAAGGAAATGCATTAGAAAAAAAGATTATACACACTGGAATTTCAGATTTTTAACAGTTATTAGTGGGAGGAATCTGTACATAACACCTACCGTCAGTCTTATTACAAATGATGTTGAGTATTTTTTCACAGATTGCACCTATTACTCTGTTACTTGCATTGATTACACTGTAACCAGCCATTTATAGCACCCAGGTGGAGTTGAGGAAAATGAAGAAGTCATGTAAACCTTATCTAGCATTGACTGAAGTGCAAATTTTACAACACATCTTTTTTATGACATCCAATTTATGACATCACTAACAGTCATCAGTATTGCTTATATTGCTCTCTTCACAGTGACACTGGTCCATTTAGAAGGGTGCACAGCATCTCAAGGCAAAATATGATATGTTTATGAAATAATCTTCATTGTCTTCTCAACTACCACTCCTTTAAAACTGGATGGGGTCACTTCAAGAAATCTCCATAACTGCTTCCCATTTTCCTCAAAAGTACCTTGTATGCTTAAGAAACCAAGAAATAAATTCATTAAAATTGAACCAATTGACATTACCCTAAATTGCACCTCAGTATATGATGCACTTAGGCAATTCAGTAAAGCAACACATAATAATGCTGATATGCATTTCATAAGTCACATAAAACTTATACCTAATATGTACTGCAGAATTTTACTGCAGTGTTTGGCAAACAAAAATATGAAAAATTCTACATCCCCCAAAATGTGAAATAAAATCTAATTGAAGACAACTTTGTGATAGATCTATGAATAGGATCATACAGTATTAGGTTTCAAGTCTATTTATCAAATCTCACCATATAAAACTTAATCCTCCAACATATTAAAAAAAATTCATCACAACCTCTTTCACACACCAACATGCTATGTCACATTTCATATTATAAAGATCATGCATGCTACCAGTCACTGATAGGTCTTTTGTGCTGTCAAATCTAAAAGAGATTCTGATGATTTGCTGGACATACTGTATATGGTTTCCAAGAGAACAGGAACCTGGCTGGCTAATTTGAACCATGTTGCAAGATGCTTCTAATCTCGTATTGCTGTATCAAACTTGGCCCACCTGCTCAACTCACACACACACACATTTTGTACAAAAAGTACAATTAAACATTAATATAAAGGGAATGGTCACAATCATCAAGGTGAAATAAGTAGAAATTATTTTTTTTATAAAATGCTTACAAATAAGTACTATACTATTAACCTAATCAGAATCGCATAATATAAAAACAATACTTGTGCAACACTGTCATCTATAATGAAATTGAACAAACATGTATCAAAACATAAATGTAATAAACTTGGACCAAGATGTGACCTATGACACCATGGTAACAAGGCAAGGGTAATTTTACAGCAAGAAAAGGTTACTTTCATTACAAATGGTTTTAATGTCCTAGTACTGTACCAGTAAATGCTTTTCCTTAGCAGTCACTTTGAAAATAACTGAAATACAGATATCTTTCAAGACTCATGCAATACCAGATATTCATACATAAAATTAATAAAAAAAAATTACATTCATAAATGGAATGGCAGAATGGAAACCTATAATTACGCATTTTACTTCTTTTCTCACATCTGGTCAATCAGTAATGGGTCAAAGTTAGAGTTCATGGGATATATAATCCCTATATACATGGATATAATTCTATATGTACTTTGTGTGTAGACATCTTTAACTTAAAACTACAGTTTGTGAAAGCACTTATGATGTTCCATTTTATGCAATTTCTGCGGGAAGTTTGAGAGCACATTTTTTTGTCATATTTTCTTCAAAGATGACAGTATTGTCAGTTTCTGTATCAGATGCTCATTTTCAGTAAATCACAAATTTTTGTCACTGAACAAGCATGAATTAGATTTTCTGGAATATAATTAACTAGCGTGAATACATTTTACAGTATGTATTACAAACCAAGTTGATGCCCATGCCCATAACTTGGCACAATTTATGGGTGAGTTGTCGGCACACCCAATAGCACCACATGAACATAATTTTGAGATCACTAAATTTCCTTTACCACTCACTGCCCATTCCTTGAGAATAAGTTTGTGTTATTTTCCTAATATTGTGAGGCCTCAGAAGAGACCCATGTATGAGCTGTCCCCAGATGAAAAAGGCAAACATGGTTACAATCCTTGTATGGCATATTTAGCCATCATTTTCATGAACTTGCTTTCTTACTACCTGCGAGTTTTCAACCATTTAGGTCAACTGAAGTTAATGTTATTAACCTTCTTTGTTGTAACTTATGATAGTTATGGGAAGGCAGCTTGGTTTTGCTTAGTGTATCACTGTTAAGAACTTGTGGCAATCACAGAGCAACTTTTATTTAAAACCACCTCTCAAGTCAACTTACATTAGCATACTTTGTTGGAGGATGCAGTGTTCAACATGACATTTTTGATTTCAACTCTTTATATATCAATTTATTGCACTTGCTGCATGTAGGTCTTCCTTGGAGTCTATGCAGTGCTAACTCAAGGGCTTGACAACTTGCTTGTATCACTAAAGTTTTTCACAGCATGAGCCAAACATATTAGATCATGAAACACACAATAAACCACATGAATTTACCTTCAAAGAGCACCTCTGTAGAATGAAGACAAATGTTACTCTCTATTGTAGTCTACCTTCACCATGTGGCTATGTTCAGCACTTTCCTGCAACACCTGAGCTAGCCCAACAGTATTCTCAGATCCATATGGACAGTGGGCGGGAGCCGGCAGGCCTCGTTAGTCAATCCACGAAGTGATCGAAACTGTCCAGGTACTCCAGGGCAGCGAAGTAACAGAACCTGTACTCCTCCTGAAGTAAAAATCCACAATCAGTGAAGCATAAAACAGTTAATTTAGCAAAAACCAAAGATTTGGAAATGAATTTTCCTTCATAGACATAATTCATGAGCTTTCATCGCTCTCTATGAGGAATATTTAAATAGAACTTAGAAGCATAGAAAATGCCTTCCATGTACATGCCTACTTATTATATTTGGTGAAAATATACACAGCACATTAAAATATTTTACAATCAAAATAAGGATAACTTTCTCTGAATTTTATCTCCTTAATAGATACAGTACTTTACAGAAGTACAGGTGCTCCTCTACTTATGAACGAGTTACGTTCCTGAGGCTTGTTTGTAAATCCAACTTTATTCTTGTAGATTCCAAACAAATTGTAAAAAATTAAAAGATTAAGGACATTTAGTACAGCTATACCCTTTAATACAGCCTTAAAACCTGGCTCACTCTTCTCCTCTTAGGTAATGTTTGTTCTATCTGGAATTTTCTTCAAAATAATCCAGTCTCATCCACATTAAACACCTGTTCTGGCAGGTAACCCCCTCAGTGATGATGTTTGTATCTCTGAAAGTTTGTAAGTTGACCGTTCTTAAGTAGAGGAGCACCTGTGCTGTATATTCTAAGGGCTTAACTATGCTCTTCTATATCTAGGTCTGACTTGTACTAAACTGTTAAATATACAGTACTGTATAAGTATTTTTTATAAACTGGTGTGCATTACTACACATAAAGGCAAATTATCTTTACCTAGCAGTACTGTGGATCACATGTGTTCAATATATCTAAATCTTTGCCACATGCATGGATAGACTTAACAAGTATTAGGTCATTGAAATTTGGACTTAGTCCATGATATCTGTATTCTTAAAGGAGAAACATCCTCATTTAAGAAAATTTTTAATAATAGTGACAATGCTAAATTTCCTTAAAACATAAATGGTAACAATAAGTAGCTGCTCTCACTTCTGTCTGCACCATGGCAGGACGTTGAGTACGAAGGTTGCGGACGGTCTGGAACATGTCAACGACACCCTCGTACTGCATTCGCTCCAGAACTTGACTCAGGGTGATGAACACCCCAGTGCGACCAACACCCGCACTAAAATGAAAAAAGTAAATTAATTGTTTATACACACAGTGGGGTCTCATTTTGCACAGGTATATCGTACTGGTACACATCCATGCATCGGAAAATCTGCGTAAGTAATGACCTTTAACGTGTCAAAATCACAATACCTGTATTGTACTGAATTCGCCAGACCTTTACTCTAGAATGACTTTGGGTAACCAACTTAACCTTCTAAAAATGACACATTATTAAATGTGCAGTACTGAAAAAATGTGTAACTGTGCATAGATGATGCTGAGGCTAATTCACTCGCCAAGTTTGAAATATCTGTACATAACACACACACACACACACTGTATAAAACAATAAAGGACCCTCAATTGAGTGCTAGTAACACTGGCTGTCTGTAACTGAAGGCTTTATCTTTAACATGTTATATCCACTAATGGGTCATAAGGGCAATGAGTCCCACTTTCAACTATACAAGAACAGTAAAAAATAAAAATCTAGAGGTGACTTTCTAGAGAAATAGTTTTCTTCTTTTTCACTCAACACTCACCTGCAATGGACAGTAATGGGACCATCTTGGCCAAATTGCTCTTTTGTCTTGTGCACTTGGCCAATGAAATCAATAAAACCTTCTCCAGATTTTGGCACACCCTGTAAAAGACAATGATACCAGTAAAATCTATTCATTAACCAAATGGCTTCATGCATACCATAACTACTGTATTTTATGGCATGTACAGTAAGTCACATAAAAACAACAACACCCTGTGTCCAATATAAGAAGTTGTGGGTCTCCCATAGGTTAATGAATCCTGCAGATGCTGTCTCCAGTGGGGTAAAATTACCAAGCCCAACTCAAGACTAAAAATGTTACTGTTTAATTACCTGTGATGCAGCATCTCGTGTTGTATTCTCAAAACTTTAGTGTTTCTGTGTGAAATCGCCCCTAAAAGACTGCCTAGTGTCAGTGCTAGTGATGCTAGTGGAGTGAAATGTAAAAGGCAGAAATCAGTGATGACCCTAACAAAGAAAGGTGAATTATTAAATAAGTTAAAAGAGGGGATGAGTGCTAACACGGCTGGTCAGTTGTGCACTAAGGCAGCATAAGTTGCTATTTGCAGTTTTGCCTATTTGTGCCATTCCTTGGAACCTAACCCCTGCGAATAACAAAGGTTTACTGTACTTCCTCACTACCCCTGGTGACAATGTGTCCTCCCCTTGTTGGGCTCCATGGTGGGTGGTGAGGTGAAATATTGATATTCATTATATGAATACTCAACAAAATTATTTTTTTTAGGACCACTTTAGCCCTCGATGACCTCAGTGCTTCCTTGACAATGTCCTCTGGAAATTCACTCAATGACACCCTTAAGCCCTTCCAAACCCCAGGTAGTGCTACTAGGACTCTTGATCCCACTGTTTTGACCTCACCGGCTGGTGGGTTGAATCGTGCTAAATTTCAAGCGAGACCTAAAGACCATAAACAAATTAGTAATAAGCAGGACCTTTCAGGTTCTATGGTCGAGACTCCACCTGGCACATTTGAGCCGGCAGCATATAAAAAATATTTAGTGATCAAGTTCCTTAATGGAATATCAATAATGGATCATGATATATTTGAAATACACGCCGCACCCTTGTTCGAGTTGCAGCCATGAGCATCGTGTCTCCCCCCAGAGGGATGGTAGCTTTCTGGTGGAGGTGTCATCCCCAGAGAAGAGTGCTATCTAAGAAAGATCTTTCAAGTCCCCGGAGCTTAGTTTTCATGCGCCCTCATGTGACCCTCAATTTTTGCAAGGGAATCATCTTCTCAAAAGACCCGACAAGAAATTCAGAAGAAAAACTATTACAAGAATTAGATCCAAATGATGTGGTAACAGAAGAACATTTTAAAAAGAAGGTTGATGGTGTCCTTGTTTCAATTCCTACTTTGTTTCTGACAATTGAAAGGCTAGATTTGCCAGAAACAGTCAAATTAGTCTGGCTCCACCTCCGGGTGAAGTCATGTGCCCAACCCTAGGTGGTGCTTCCACTACCACGAGTTTGGGCACGGTAGTCGTTCCTGTCGCAGTTTGCAGAACGACCTTCCAAATGTGTGTCTGCCATGTGGCAAGTTGGACCATGATGGCAAGGGTTGTCCCGGTCGTGTCTGGTGTTCCAATTGCCCTGGGGCTCACCTAGCCTCGTCGAAGAAATGTGACCACTACAAGCTCAAGATTCGAGGCAAGGAGAAGGTTAGCTTTGCCGAGGCAGTGTATCGAGCTCTCTCTTGGTTGGTGTATCTGGAAGTATCTTATGCCTCGATGCTATCCTCCCTTCCCACTCGATGTCCAGTGGTTCCTTTGCTGCAACAAAATGCTGTAATTTCTTCTGCTGTTTCTTGTTTATCTCCCTCAACTGATGCTGTTATTAACATTTCCCTTTTTTCTTCCCCCATAAAGGTTTCAGGGGAGCTCATTTTGGCTGCTTCATTGAACCAAAAGTGGTCCAGGAGTGGGGGGGTTTCTTGAAGAGACTCCTCCCAATGTGTCAGCTTTCAGGACCCTCTGGTGGGTCTCTGAATGCCCCCCAGGTGTCGGCTACGGCCGTCACCACCCTCCCAGTGGCTGCGACTATCTCTGCCTGATGCTTCTTGTATTCAGGCCCCTGGAGTCATTTCCTTGCATGAGGCAGCACCTGTGATGTCATCCCTAGAAGTTCAGCTACCCCGGGATCTAGTACCTGTAGTCTGCTCTCGGCCTCCTACTGCCAGGACCAACAAGCCTGTGACTAAGTCACTGGTTGCGGAGCAAGTGACGGGCCCTTCAAGGGAGGATCACTCTTCTTCCTCAGCGAAGTCCACTGCTTACAGGCAGAGCAAGAATATGGTGCTGAGAAGCTCCCATCTGAGGGCACTGCTAAGCCTTATAAGTAATACCCGTAACAATGTTCCATCAACTTCAGTGGAATCTCCGTGGGTTACGAGTAAACTGGGAGGAGCTTCAACTGCTCCTGCACAGGTTCTGGCCGGTCTGTGCCTGTCTGCAGGAGAACATGGTTGGATTCCCTACTCCTCCCAGGGGTTACTCTGCCTTTTATTCCCTCCATGATCCAGCACAGAGCCATCATTGGGGTGCAGCTTTTTTTGTAGATACCTCTTGGGGTATCTCTTTTAACCTTTTTAACATTACCTCCCCCCTGCAGGTAGTTGCTGTTCAGATCCACCTGCAGCGCACTTTGTGTTCTCTCTATCTTCCACTTAACTCACAGGATTGTCCCTTGGTGGTGACTGGACAGGGCTGACTGAGTTTTTTGCTTTGGGGACTAGCCACGGTGGACTGGCAGGTTGCAGAGTTCACGAAAGTTGATAGAGCTGTCGAATACTTCTCCACCCTTCTCCAATATTCCCATGAACTTTCCATACCTCAGACCTCTGGGGTTGTCAACTGCCAGTCGGTTCCTTGATGGTCTGACGAGTGCAGACAGGCTGTGATTGAGCATCATTTGGCTTATGGTCGGTACCGTCGGCACAAAACTGACGTTTATCATGGAAAATACAAGAAAGCCAGAGCCAAAGCTGGTACAGTCCTTAAATATGCCTGTCGTAAGTCATTTCCTTTTTTGTCCTCACTCAATGCTAGAATACCCATGTCGCAGGTATGGAGGTATGGAAGACAACATCAAAGTTCAAGTCCGATCCCTCCCCCAGTCCTCAAGGTCAATAGGGAACTATGATCTGCTCTCTGTGTGTGTAGTGACTCCTCCCCCCAGGCCAGATAACATCCCATACGCCATGATCCGTCACCTCGGCAGCGAGTCCCTGTCGTTTCTGCTGGGGCTGCTTAATTGGATGTGGAGGGACAATTATATTCCCTCCTCTTGGTGGAAGACTGCAGTCGTCATCCACTTTCCTTAGTCCAGTAAGGACTCCTCTGTTCCTTTCAACTACCGACCTACAGCCCTGACTGTTTGCATGGTTAAACTATTGTATTTGAAAGGATGGTCAATACACACCTGGTAAGGTATTTGGAGAATGGTGGTCATATCTCGACTGCCCAGTGTGGTTTTCGTCAGTACCACTTGCCAATGGATGTGCTTGTTTGGTTGAGCAAGAACATCTATTGGGTTTTTGCATCTTGACAGCACGTGGTAAGTGTCTTCTTCAACATTGAGAAGGGGAAGCCCCCTCTGGACCTCCGACAACAACAACAACAACTGACTGTACGACTTTACTACCGTGCTCAGCGGCTCCATGGTTCCCTTCTTTATACAGCTCTTTCCTGACTTGACCTCCACCCTAAGTGTTGGCAGATACCTTCTATACTTTGCCCTTTTGGCTTCCGTGCTGGGTATCTCGTTGATGAGCTAGGTCTATCCAGGCCTTTTACTCTGCCAGTAGTATGCTCAGCTATTCCCCCTGGCAGCTGCAAGGGGGTGGAATTTTGCCATTATTTTTCGGGAGTCAAGGGTACTTAGGGTATATCCCTGGCCACATTCGGTTAGTCATTTTGGAGCATGCTGCTGAGCACAGTAACTCTGTTTCAGTTTTCACGGATGGGTCAAAGATGGATGCCGGGGTAGGATATTTATTTTCTCCAGTGCATTACCCATCACTGTCTAAATTTTTAAGGCTGACCTATGTGGGATTTTAACTGCACTGCAGTATATTTTTAGATATAATGATCGTTTTAAACACTACTATTTTTAGTGACTTGTGTTGTGTTGCCGTACAGGCACTTGAGCTTTTCAATTCATCTCCTCTCCTGGTTTTCAATATTTTAGAATGGATCTTTTTACTCAAGCGGCACGGGTGGGTGATCCAGTTCTTCTGGATAACCTGTTCACATCAGGGTTAATGGCAATGAGACGGCCAATGTATGGGCGAGGCGTGCGGCAGCTGCAGGCCAGTCCCAAGGGAGGCCTCTCCCTCACTAAAACATCCACCTTGTACTCTGGCAAGAACAGTGGGCTGGAGTGGGTATCAACAAAATGTGGGAGATAACCGATGTGGTACATCCGTGGCGGTACCCGACGATGCCTCGTCAGTTACAGACTGTCGTGACTTGTCTCCGTATTGCTATATCCGGCTGACATACGGGTACCTTATGGATGGTGGCGTGGCTCACTGCCTGGTCTCCTTGATTGTCTTGCTGGCCAAGTGACCAGTCTGGGGGACCGGTGGTGTAGACACCTCTCCTGGTGCCGTGAGGGAGATGGTTCTTACACTCTCTTTGCAGTGCTGGGGGAGTAGTCATGCTGCCCGGGGTCTGAGACTCTAAATGTTATGAAGGAGGCTAGCTGGCCTCCTATATCTTTTATAGGTTTACTGTATTTATCTTGTTGTTTCCTTTTTGGTCATTTTAGTTCCAGTTTTGTTTCATTTCCTGTCATTTTGATTTTAATATCACCTTTTACCATTAATTATCTCCAATGTCATACGACCCTAAGATAAGCTAGAGACTCGGTTGATAAAAAGTCCAAAAGAGGACCAACAGACTGGTGCCTGCCCTCCGGCATCTCAGCTACCCAGATAGATTAGGATACCTGCAGTTGCCAAGCTTATACTGTAGACAGGCAAGGGGTGACAATAAAAATTTGTAAGCACCTCAAGGGACATTACTTAGTTGAGCATTAATACCTGGAACTAACAAATGCTCATCCCATAGGTTGAAGAAGCCACAAGTTCAGAAAAGTGACAGGACTAACTTTTTTGCAGCAAGAATTGTGATTGACCACTCAAGCAACTAACAGGCTGATCAGTGGTGAGAAGAATAAAATATTATTCCCACAACCACCAAAACAAGTTTCACAATTTTAAGGGTAATCTGCCAAAACATTTAAAAATTTTCATATAAATTTATCCAATAAATATATTGTCCTCTTTCCTGTGACAAACTTCCATTTACCACTTATATAAACTTATCCAAGAACTAACTTCTGCCCTATAAATTTACTTAACAAATATTTATTATACAAATTTTTTTACTCAAAAACCATATTTTTTTTTAGTTTACAATTAAGAACATTTAATATTCTCTCTTGTGTATCACAACAAGATGTTTGATAAATTAAAAAAAAACATTACTTATCAGAGAGATTAATGTCTGCAACTCTGGGTGTATACTGAACCCCACTATCAGTTCTATTGTATAAAAATAAAAATTCTGTTTGTTGTTCTCATCAGTGATCAAGACTATGCATACCTGTTCAGGCCATTCAATAAACTGGAACTGTCGTATGGTGCGAGACTGTCCATCTCTAGCATCAGTTATCTGTTGATAAAGTAATACACAGTATTTAGACATTTCAAAAAGTGTCTCTTGGTTTTAAGTTCAATTGGTTTCAAGTTACTTAAAAGTTACAAACAATATTAACGTCAGAAGAGCATATAAAAATATAGCCCTCAAACAAGAAAAGGCATACTATGTAATTTCTAGAAAAGAATAAATTACAATTACAGTAATATTATTATGGTACTTACCTTAAACTCCCTGAGAATATACTGAGGCATATTATACTCGGCTATTGGGTCTACCACATAAAACTGGTACCGCTGAGATCGCTCATTGGGCCAATACTGGTAACATTTTTCCTGGATCATTAGAGTAAATGTTAATCTCTATATCATCACACAAGATCATCAATAATTACAATATAAAAATAACCCTCTACATCATTCAAAGAGTAATTACTGTACTGAATCCACATGTACTTTACAATAAGATACTACAAGACTTACATCAGACAAAACACTTGATTATGTGTAACAAGATGTACAGTCTCGTTCAAGATTCTTCGAGCACTGCTGGAGACAGCTGGCAACTCAAGGTCGTTTGTTTACTATAGTATGTAGTATAGTTTAATACCTGTATGTACTATAGTAAACAAACGGCCTTGAGTTGCCAGCTGTCTCCAGCAGTGTTCAAAGAATTTTGAACGAGACTGTACCTATATGAAATTTTTCCTCTTACCCTGCCCATTTCCTTGAGTTTAGTAAGCATAACCACAATGGTAGAGTTGTGCTCCCACAGCATCCTCCAGAAATCATCTACAGTTTCCTGAAGTGGACCTTGTGTGGCAATATATGCACAGCGGTACCTGTCGATTATATTAAAAATGTCTCTTGAAGATTACTGATGCCAGTGCAATGATGTTTAATCTATTCATTACACTCATATCAGGAAACAGACCTTTCAGTTATCTACGTCTCTGGTGTCCTTTGGAATCTTCCTGCTTGATAATACAATTTTCCAAGTCCATGGACACTGAACAAAATTATTTATGAATATTCAGTGTGAAAAAGTTTAAATAGAGGGAAAACAAGCAATAATTACAACACACACATATATATATACAAACATTACAGAAACTGATTAACACTCCAGTACTTAAAAAATTAGTGCTCATAGCCTTGACTTGGATAGTTTTAGCAATCATCATTGTCATCAACAAATCAAGTGGCAGAGTTAACTGAATTTACATAAAGACTTCAAATGAGAAAATAGATTGACTTTTCAATCTAGATTTAGAAATACTAATACAGTAAAACCTCGTTTAAGCCGGACAAAATTATTTTCCTAAAAATAATAACAAAATTAAAAAAAAGAGTAGGACAAAATTTGTCCTCCGATGACATGTCTGCAAAATTTCAAGGGACCAAGGCGTCAGCACGTACCCGAGAGTTATCAATTGTTGTTTTTGGGAATATTATTTCTTTCACTCTAGTAATGATACAATGTATCTTATTATGTTATCATAGGTAAATGCATGACTTATATAATTTGTTTATCGCTGTACCTGTCACCGTTTACAAATTAGACTACAAAATATGTATTTCTCTCATACGCATTTCGATCGCACACCTGGCAACGGGAGCAAGCGAGTGAATGACTGTTAGTTAGAGCGCCGTCTGCAGTTAGTATGTCTCTCCTCCCTCCGTGCTATATTTTACTGGATCTACTGTTATTATTGGTGTTTACTGATATAATATCCATATTTCACTGGATTTACTGTTATTATTAGTGTTTACTGATATAATAGTGTTTAATAGTGATTAGCATGGCATTGTAGCCAGGTTAAACTGGTCACTGTAACCACCAGGCAACTCGGCCAAGCTGTGGTGTTATGGTTGTTTTTCAATTCGTATTTTTGGGTAGATATACGTAACTTTCTTCATTTATTTTTACTCAGTTACATGCACAAACCATCCTACATACATATTGTGAAAAAAGTAAAAGAAATAATTGTCCTAAGGGCAAACACATAAAGGGAATATACAGGTACTCCTCGACTTACGACGTACTGTACTCGACTTATGACAACCTGGACTTACGACCATCGTGGTCGTATAATACATTTTTCAAATTAAGTATTTTCTAGCACCAAAACGTTTCGGTCCCATATGACAGCGTGGGCTAGGCCCCCTCGTGGTGTACAGCATCCACGCTGATGCCCGCTCAGTTGGTATTTGGCTGTCGTTGTCGTTCGTGATCGCGCTGTGTACTGACAAAATTTTCTTTTCTAATTCCCTTTAAAATGACTGGCAAGCGTAAAAGTGAGAGTTCTCGTGGTGCTGAGAAGAAAAAGAGACAGTCAATTACTTTTGAGATGAAAATGAAAATAATAATGCAATATGAAAATGGAAAAACGATATCAACCATTACACGCAACCTTGGCTTCTCTCACTCGAAGTTATCAACAATTTTGAAGGACAAGGAACGAATTCATGAGGTAGTGAAAGGATCAGCACCTATAAAGGGAACAATAATAACGAAAAAAAGACAAGGTCCTCTTCATGAGATGGAGAAATTACCTGTGATGTGGATGGAAGATCAGCTGAAAAAGCAGGAACCTTAAGCCTTCTAACCATACAGGCTAAGGCAAGAAACCTTTTCGAAAGCCTGAAAGAGCAGGCAGGAGATGAGTGCGACCAAAACTTCTCAGCAAGTCATGGGTGGTTCCAAAGGTTTAAGAACCGTTACAGTTTGCACAGTGTAAAGGTGAGTGGAGAGGCAGCTAGTGCTGATGTGGGTGCTGCCGAAGCTTTTAAGGAGGAGCTAGATCGTGTCATCGTGGAAAGAAATTATTTGCCTGAGCAAATATTTAATGTGGATGAAACTGGCTTATTCTGGAAGGCCCATGCCAGAATGGACATACATCCACCAAGAGGCGAAAACCCTGCTGGGATTCAAGGCATTCAAGGACCGAATTACACTTCTGTGTGATATATCATTCAGAGAACCCAAGGGCTTTTAAAAATGTCAGCAAGCACACACTGCCAGTGTTTTATCACAGTAATAAGAAAGCATGGATGACCCTAGCATTGTTTGAGGATTGGTTCCCGAGTTGTTTCATTCCACGAGCCAAGGAGTATTGTTTGCAACAAGGGGTTGCCTTCAAGATTTTATTAATTTTAGATAATACTCTGGGACACCCACCACACCTGGACGACCTGCACCCTAATGTTAGGGTAGTCTACATTCCACCTAACACTACCTCTATCATCCAACCCATGGATCAAGGTGCTATTGCTGCTTTTAAAGCGTAATATTTACATACAACCTTCGCTCAGGCTGTTGCTGCTACTGAAGGTGAGAAAACGCTCAGAGTTTTGGAAGGACTACAACATTTTGCAATGTACAAAGAACATAGCTGCAGAATGGGATGAGGTTACAGGTCAGTGCATGAATGGAATATGGAAAAAGGTCCTGAAAAGATATGTGAACAGTTTCAAAGGATTTAATGAAGATGAAGCAATTTCTGAGATTGGCAACAAGATAGTGCAGTTGGGTAAACAGATGGAGTTAGAAATTGATAATGAAGATGTTGAGCAGTTGGCCGAAAGTGTAGCAGAAGAGCTAAGTAAAGAGGATCTTAATGAACTGGATGCACAGAAAACTGCAGAGGAAGAAAAGAGACAAAATGTAGAAGAAGAACCTGCACCCCCCAAAAAGTTTTCAGTGAAACAAATGGCAGAGGCATTTGCTACTATTAATAAGGGGATGCAAATGTTTGAAGAAATGGATCAAAATGTTGAGCATTTTGCAAAAGTTGACAGACTGATCCAAGATGCACTTGCTTGCTACAGGGAGATTTATGATGAAAAGAAAAGGCAAACTGTGCTGTCTAAATTGGACATATATTTTAAGAAGTCCCCCACTGCTGTCTCCTCATGCCCCACCACTGCTGCCTCTTCACTCCCTTAAGATGATCCAATACCTTCAACAAGCAAGTATGTTAGCCTGTCTGAAGAAAGCGAAATAGATGACCCACCCAGCCCTGTCTGCTCCTCTGCTTCATCCAATTAATGTAGTCTCTATGTTTAATTAAAAAGTTATTGAGGCCCCGTGTGCATTCAGCTGACTACATTAAAGGTAAGTGCACAGTAACACTTTATTCATTCTTCATTATTGATTATTTTTACTGTACCGTATTTCATTTTAGAATTTCTATGTATTATTTTCACATTTTTGACTTACGACCTGGTCGTCGGGACGGAACCCCGTCGTAAGTCGAGGAGAGACTGTACATTTCTTTGCACATGAGTTAGCTGGCTGAGTGAAGGAGGGGAAGACGATCGCAGAGGGGAGAGGGGAATGTTGTAAGGGTGGAAACGAGCAGGATGGTTATCCGCCGCTCGTTTGCTTGTTCGCGGCCCCACTAGGGGGGGGTAGACGGAGGTGAAAAGGTCGCTGCTGCTTCGTCACACATCAGACACTACCCAGCCAGCACCACTTCCCCTGCTGTTTGATTACTTCTGGTTGTGTGCTCATCTGAGGCTCCTGGGGCTCGTGGGCCAATTCCCCAGTCCTTCACTATTTGGCTGATAATCTCCGGACATCACTCCAGTTACTACCGTGGCTGCCACGTCATCACCACTTCCTCCACGCCCTATCCACCATCCATGCCCTGGCGTCTCTCCTGTGTGGCAAGACATCGCCCACCAACGCCAGCGCCAAGTGAGGAAGCTGCCCTGGACCTTCCCCGAGAGCGGACCACCACGTTAACGAAACATTCCACCGGGCTGCAGCCGTAGGAAATATCTGTACATTGTTCGACTCCCATAATTGTTTGACTCCCGTAATTGTTTGACTCCTGTAATTGTTTGAATCCATTAATTGTTTGACCGCCGTAATTGTTTATTTGATATTTGTGTGAGTGGTGTCAATTATTGTGATTATTTTCGTAGTAAAGAGATGTCAATCTCTAATTGTTGTTTGTTACCCCTTGGAAACCCATGGTTCTTGACTTTCCTTTTATAAGATACTGATTAGGCTGGCAAGGGATTTATATCCCACAGGCCAGGCCTTTACCACGGTCGCAGAGTGTAGAGGGGGGGAGGAAGACGGTCGTAGAGGGGAGAGGGGAAGACGGTCGCAGAGGGAAGGGGGAAGGAGAGGGGGAGGAAGAGTCGAGAGGGAAGATGATCGCAGAGTGTAGTGGGGGAGGAAACGGCGAGAGTGTAGAGGGGGAGGAAGGTCACAGGGGAAGAGTTGAGAGTGTAGGGGAGGGGAAAATAGGTAGAGGGGAGGGAAGGCGGTCAGAGTGTAGAGGGGAAAGAGTGGGGGGGGAGGGAAGAAGAGAGCAGGGAGGGGAAGACGGTCGCAGAGTGTAGGGGGGGGCGTTGCTAGGGAATTAGCGTGCCTGCTGATGTTCATTACTATGGTGAAACAGGGAGTAAGAGGCAAATGGCGGCTGTGTTGAACTTTCATTTAGCTTTTATTTATGGATTTGCCGATACGTACAATATTTTTTGTTGGCATTATTTTTATTTATTCCTCACATTTCCTGGTACTGTATATATTATTTTAAGAAAACTATGGCTACAGGAGGAAAATACACACAAAAGTTTATTTCCTAAATACTCCCTACCGTAAAATATGGTACTGTATTTTTCGTGTTTTTTGTCATTATTTATCGTTTTTATACATAGGCTGAAGTAGCATTCATATTTTTTGCATTATTATTGAAAAAATTAAACAATAACCAAAGCCCCCAAGAAAGTGTTTGGTATCCATAAGGGCGAAGAGAAGGTTAAGCCTATGACCTTATCAGTGAACTAAAATTAAGTACCGGTATCCAGTACTTAATGTACGTACATTACTTTTTAAAATTAATTTTGATTAAAAAACATGTATTTCTTTCATAAAACTTGGATACATTGGTGTTGTACTCGTTTTTTGTTTGAAATGACGGTCTTTTTGGAAAAATTGCTCTGAGGTGGACAACCTCTTATCCCGGACACCCCTACCCCTCAATTAGTCCACCTTAGCAAGGTTTTACTGTACATAAGAGCATTGTTTTTTGGTGTATTATTTTGCTTTCACTTGTATTAAACTTTTCCTTCTACTACTGTTACAATTACAACTTTGGTGTGTTACCTGTATCCATCAATGAAGCTGGCATTGATATAGTCAGATCCCTCAGTTCCACGAAGAGGCTGCAAACACACCCGACTTCCTTCAAATGGCAGAATATTCACTAATCTGTTCTTGAACTTATTAACAGGCAGGTTGGCACTAACAAACCTCGATGGTTGAGCTTTGATGTTTGCTAAACGCTGTCAGGGAAAAAGTAAAATAAATTATTAATTGGTTTGATGACATCTATTGTGCATCAAATAAAAAACCTAAAAATTACTTGTAAGATATGGATAAGTGCTGAGAAATTTTTTATTAAACTTTTACCAACTTACACTAACTGGTGATCCAACCAGAATTACATTTGCCAAAAACATGGCAGAGGAATTTGTATATTTTCTATCAAATTGAAAGTAGAAAAATATTATTGGGCATGTTTTCCTCATAACTTTTATGTGAATAAGAGATACATGTAGAAGCATTTTTGTACTGCAACAAAATAATTACAATACAATATCTTATTTAATTTTTTTATTGCTGAAAAAATCAAGAATGCATTTTACCCAGTGTTAAACTTTAATAAGACTAAATTTAGATATCTGCTATCATCTAATACAGTATTGTACAGTATTGTATATACAACCCCCTTATTTTGACAAATATAAGCCATCCCTAATTCTTAGGCACAAGGTGAGTTTTAGACAGAATTCATGCAAAAAAGCTTGGTCTCTGATTCTAAGCCATCCCCTGAAGTTGCAAGGGGTCAAAATCATATTCACATTAAAAAAAATTCAGAACACAAGAGCTACGTACGTACTGTATATGATATTAAGTACTTGTGTACATATGAACATATTAGAACAGTTGATTGGGGTAATAAAGTTGAGGTGAAAAGTATGTTACCAAATAACAAAAGGATTAGATGTGGCAACAGTACGAGAGAGCGAAAAGGTACAGTCACTAGCGATGATGTAACAACACGAAATGTCATAAAAAATGTTGGCGAGCACTTATTCATACCTAAGAATATGCTGTGAATTCTTTTGGAAAGCTGACAGTATGATAAGGCATTGTAAAAGCAGTGAAATGTCAGGAGCAATGTGCATCCCATCTCTCCAAAGCATCAACTAACTCGATTGGTGCGAGCTGTAAGCTTGCAATTGCGAGTGTATGTCATGTGGCTGACGCATGGACTTGCTCTCACATGCCGTAATGGATATGTCATTTGCAATACATTGTTAGACGAGAAAATCTGATACAGTATAATTATTTATTAATATGGATATATTGACTCTAAGAGTGTGATTCATAACTTGCTATGATATTTGAATATCATTAAGTTACCATAAAGCAACAGTGTATATTACCATTAACAAAATATGTACTATTGTTGCACACACACACACACTAAAAAAAAAAAAAAATAGTATACTGTACAAGCAACCCCCGTGTTAGGGAATTCCGGGCTACGGAAATTTGCCCTTACGATATTTTGAAATTATGACAAAAATTTGGGATACGAGCAAAAAAAAATTTTACTCAAATTTTTAAAATTCTTTTGTGTGGATTTTCTGTGGTATCCACAAGGCTGTTGGAAGGCCGCTCACCTCCCCAGTTGCCAGCAACCACTACAACAATGGTGCTGCTCAGATAGAATTCTTTTCCCAGTTTGTATTTAATAATAATTAACGGTTTATTGAAAGAGCATAGCAGCCGCAAGGCTGAAAATATACAGTTACCCGGTACATAATTGGGGGAATGGGTTTTGATTTACAAATACATGTAATATACAAGTAACATAAGTGATACAAATAAGATATATATAATAACTAGGTTCAGTACTGTATTTGCCCTTACAGAATTAAGGTTAATTTATTAGGATTTTCAAAAGAAAAAATATGATAAAGAAAAAAGAAAATCACCAAAATTATAAAATTTGTTTTGTGTGCATTCTAATAATACCCATAAAAAAAATTATTGTGGCATTTTATGTTAAAAGCAAGCAACCATACTTGATCAACTGGTTACGGGATGGGTAAGAACCTGTAAAATTGTAAAATAAATTAGAAATTGGATTTTACATTAAATACCGGGTAGGCCTAAATTTATAGAAAAAAATATTTCCATATATTATTAACCTATTTGACCCTTGAAGGTCCTTTAGGGTCAAAATCCAGCATGGCATCCACCCACATGTTTTTTGCAATCAAATAAGGAATAAAACGAGCATGGGTGTTTACTTAAACAAAAAATGCTGTAACTTGTTTTTATAGAGCACTTTTCAGGGTTTTGGACACAGTAGGTACAATTCACTATACTTCATCCTTGAAAACAAACTCATGGGTAGATGACATGCAGAGTGATAATAGGAATGGTGCTACTGATGGTAATTTTGACTTCGAGTGAGGTAGTAATGGTGGTGGAGCCTGGCTAGAGGTGGTGCTAGAGCGTACAATGAATTATGGTATATACAGTATTACTTAAGGAAAATTTTGAGGCGTTACTAAAATTTGTATTGGATAATAAGCTGCACCCCCAACTTTTTCCAAATTTTTAGATGAGAATGTGGCTTATATTCGTCAAAATACGGTAAGCTTACTAGAGAAGATGCAAGAAGAAACAGCCCGAGAGTCAGTCAGTGTGAAGAATACAGCATCTCCTTTCTTCAAGCTGGTAAACAACTGGGGTACACATAAATATTAATGGGGACTATGCTTTAAGTTACAGGGGAAGTTGTTCATGATATAGAACTCACCTTGAACTCAAGCTCCATGCCAGTGACATTCTCTCCTGGTTCTACAGCCATCAGTTTCTGAATGTGGGCATGCAGGCTACGTGCTGGGACCTCAGAGTTGCCAGCCATGACAGCCTCATGCAAGGCGTCATGAATAAAGATGTACTGATCTTCTGTTTGAACCTGAAACCAATCACATTATTAAAAACCAAAATCTGCAAGAAGTGTTTCAATTTCTAATGTATTTACTTGAAACATCAAAATGACTGTAGAAAAGAAATAAAATATATATTAGTTAGCAAAATCACATGTGCAAGTTCTTCTCAACTGCTTTTATACGTATTTAAGCAATTCAACTTAATCATTTAAATTACCAATCGTTTGCATCAAAATACAGGGGGGCCCCCAAATTCGCAGGGGTTAGGTTCTCAAAATGGCAGCGAATTGCCAAATCCGCGAATAACATTTGCGGACTGGGGGGGGTACATTTTTACTTGTGTACAAAGAAATGTATATTCCCTTTAGGCATTTGCCCTAGGACAATTATTTCTTTTACTTGTAGTATTGTATCTGTGTGTGTGTGCATGCAGAAACACGCACACACACACAAAACACATACAAATAAATAATAATTGGAAAATCCTCTCACAAATAATCAGAAACAAATTTATTAAAAATTTGACAGTCTACCCTGAAGTCCGTGCTCTATTAATAAAGTACTGTAATAGAGCACGGACTTGAGGGGTAGACTCACATTTTCAATAAATTTGTTTCTGATTATTTGTGAGAGGATTTTCCAATTATTTTTTATTTGTATGTGTTTTGTGGGTGTGTGTGTGTCTACACACACACCCACATATTTACAATACAGGTAAAGGAAATTACTACACACACATATTTACAATACAGGTAAAGGAAATTACGAATGGCTCCCTGTCCCAGCCGCGAAAATGCCGGCAACTTTAAAACTACCCACAGACATTCTTGGGTACATCCAGGGAATCATCCGCGAATAACCGAGAACCGCGAAGTAAAAATCTGAGAACTTGGGGGGGCCCCCCTGTATTCCCTTCAATTTATATGATTAGGGATAATGGAATAACAGCAGAAATATTAATGGGCAAAGTTGAGGGGAGGAGGTCCAGGAGAAGGCAGAGACTGGGATGGATGAACAACATTAAAAGCTGGGTCCCCAGAGGGATGAAAAATCTCATTAGATTGGTAAAAACAGTAGGAAAATTATTAGAGTAGAGGACTGTGGTCACCAATGTTCAGATATGAGGATGGCATTTATGAATGCTTTATTGAGCTAGATTACTATGTCTGCTACCATGTTAAAAGACAATAAAGGACCAGTTCCAAATTTCCTGTCCTACAAATACATACTGTAAGCAACTGGAATAAGGGTGGTTTAATAATAATAAAACAAACATACAAGACCATAGAGAATAGGTCTTCTATGTTTCCAGCCAACAGGAAGTGAACAAAAGAGTGAATTGGAGTTAGAGACCTCAAAGGTTTTGGAATAGTTTAATATTTAAAAAAAATTATAAATGGTATGTTTTTGAGTAAAGGTTGTGATCCCCATCACCATAAACAATTAGTCCTCCATAAGATATAAATATTTTACTTTGATGTCAGTGGTAGGTCTACATCAGAAATGCAGTACAGTCAGTTCTCGACTTACGAAGGGGTTAGGGACCGACAACCAGGTCGTAAGTCGAACTGGTCGTAAGTCGAAAATGCGAAAATAATACCTGTACATAGAAAATCTAAAATGGGTTTCTCTTTTTCTTCTCAGCACTACAAGAACTCTCACCTTTACGCTTGCCAGCCATTTTAAAGGGAATTACAAACGAAAATTTTGTCAGTACACAGCGCGATCACTAACATCGAGACTCGAAAATGTGTAATTTGAAAAATATTTTATACGACTGCGGCGGTCGTATGTCAGGGTGGTCGTAAGTCAAGTAGGTTGTATGTTGAGGAGTACCTATAATTGCAAAAGTCAAGTGGAATTTGAGAAGAAAAATTCAATATCTACATAATGAGATTTTGCAGATTGTGCTTTCTCGCAGGGTCCATTTGAACTAACTTCCATGAGTTTTAAGGAAATACTGTATTTACAATACTAATGCAACAAACCCTATCTTTTTATCTCCAAGAATAAGCTTGCTATGACTCAATATGTTCAATTACCTTTTGCGCTTGGAGGGAAAAATGAATAATCTGTTCTTGGCTTGGGCGTGCTCATCTTAAAGCACAATTTACATCAGTTATTACCTAGAGAAATCTATTTTTTTCCACAACTTTTATTCTATAACCTTTTTTGGGTCATCATGTTGGCATTATAATGGAATAAAGTGTTCATATTGCAATCACATTAAATAATGAAGGTATAAAGTGATGTCTAAATATTTTCATTAAGCGTAAAATTTTTTTTGCATTCTATTCGCGCTTACGTATAGAAATAGTTCTTTTATCGTGATTAATCATATAAAACCGTTTGTAGATAATTTATTTACAATGATACTGCAATAAACCTCACCTTTTTATTTCAAATAGCAAGCTTGCTATGACTCATTATGTACCATTATCACTCGTGTGGTGCAGTCTAGTGCGGCGAGGTTAGTGACTGGCCAGACCCCGGTGAGGTTAGTGACTGGCCAGACCCCGACCGGCTCGCTGTAAAGCACCTCCCTAAACCCAAGAATGTTAATGCTTATTATTTTTGTTTTGTGTGTTAACTTTATTTTCTTGCGTGACAGTGTGCACGACAGAGATACATCAAGGGTAGATGGGACATTTTGGGGGGTTGGCCGGTCCCTAACCCCCTTTATTTGTTACATCCTTATCGGATTAATTGCTTCAATAACCGTTGATTCACTAACCAACAACTTTTCACAGTCCCTTATATGCTTCAGTTATCGAGGCATACCTGTACCTAGTTACAGTGCTTCAAGAGCATTTCTACTTTGTGGTCAAAAGTCACCTAACTTAAAAAATGATATATAACAGAGGTCTAATTAATAAAACTCCCCCTTATGACCTACACTATTCATTGTATTCAACATGACAACATTTACACATTGCACTTTGAAAACCAAATAACATGCAAACTTTAGCAACATTTGTAAGTGAAAAAACTGTAGGCACCAAAATTACTTGGGAATGTTCTTGCAAGCTTCCCCACTCTCTCAAAGTTTAAAAAGCATATTTGTCAGAGATGTCATTTTTTAGTAAAATTAAAACAGCATAATGTGTCATGATAAAATGAAATGGAATTTCTTAAAAGAGTAAACCATTTATGAAAAGAATCAGAAAAAAATATTTGTCTAAGTTGTAGTTTTATAATTATTACATAAAATCTTAATTAAAATTTCAGAGAAATCATACTTCAAGGCTGGAAATTCTCAAATCTATATTAGCCCTTTCGCCGCCCAATGACACTATTTGTGTGTATTTTACCCATAAATGGTAAATGAAAAATCTTTACATTTTGGGTGACTCAGACAGCATCATCAGCTGGTCTATAGGCGAGATTGGCAATGACGCAGAGTGGCTGGTGGAAAGGTTAATCACACTCATAATTTTTCTATTAGTGACACACAAGACACTTACCATGTAGTTCCTCTGGGCTCGCAGACAGGTGACATGGCCGTAGATATCCACTGTTCGTTCATGCTTGATTCTCTCCAGCATGGCATCAATCACAATGAAGGCTCCTGTTCGACCCACACCAGCACTGTAAATAAAAAGAATTGTGTCATCTAGCAGACAATCTCAATTCCATTCTATTTTTTATTTTTCTGTCAGTTGGTACTTCTAGGTTTTGCTCGATCTTTTAAGTTTCTTTGCCATATTTCTTCCTTCCAACTCAATACTTGAAGAGCAACCACAATATAATTCACATATACTATTGTACCTACCTATAAGCATAATTTATGGTAACCTTTTCAGCTATTTGATGGCTATATTAATATTACAAAGAAACCAATAATTAGATCTAACTTTTTACAATATAAATGTCAGGGTTTACCAAAAACAAAATACTGCACAATAAATAAAAATCAGCTTGAGATGATTCTAGGCTTTTGGTGGAGAAGCAAACCAATGCCCCCAACTCCAGGTAAAATCCTATAATATGCAATATATGCAGCAACTGGGAAATATTTGGGCTGTGCTATGGAAGGGGACCACCTAGTAGAACACTCATATTATAGGAGAAAGAGAATTAATGGCAGTAAATGATGAGAAAACCCAACCCTGGATCTTAAAGCTTAATTATAGCACCACTGGTGGTAGATGCACGAATGAATGACTTGAGTTGCGTTCAGAGTGTTGGAGAAAACTTGAATTATTACTGGACGGGACCAAAGCGAACAAAGTTTAGATACCTGAAAGATTCAGATACAAGTGATATCTACATTAGCTGGAACAATTGGTGCAGAGCACTTCCGGGAATGAGAGATTTCCGAGTAATGAGACGATTCTCTCAATGCCGGGAAAAAATCCCTCATCCCCATAATTTTCCGGGTAACAGAAAAATTTTCTTGGAAGTTCCAGAACTTGCCTATTACATCATCTTTTAAAGTTGGAAAAATCCCTCATCCCCGGAATTTTCCAGAATTTTCTGGGTAACGGAATAAAGTTCTTGGAAGTTCCAGAAATTGCGCATTGCACCATCTCTCGAACCCGGAAAAAATTCCCCCATTCCCGAGTATCGGAAAAATTTTCTCGGAATTTCCAGAAACCCACCTGATATTTGTCCTTTGAGCCCGGAAAAAAAATACCCGTACCCCATCCCTAGAATTCTCCAGGCACTGGGAAAAATTTTCTTGGAATTTACCAGAAAATGTGCCCCTCAGAAAATTTTTCCCAAAGCCTAAATTTTCCAGAAAATTCCAGCTGTAGGAACGATTTTCCAAGAAAATGTTAATTCCAGCTTTTGGAGAGTTCCAGTTAAGAGGGATTCTGGCTAATAAAGATATTACTGTAGTTGGAATGCAGATAAAAGGAATTGCACTGTAAATTACATAAAGTCTACAACATTGGATTAACATTAAATTAGTGACGTTTATGCATACAATGGCTTGATATGAATGGGGGAGGGTATTGGTCGCCACTGGGTCAGTACCATGGGAACCAAATTTTACCAGGGGGGTGCTGAGTATTAATTCTGGTGTCCTAGATACTCTGTGGCACAAAGTAGACACGCACACACACACAAAACACATACAAATAAATAAAAATTGGAAAATACTCTTACAAATAATCAGAAACAAATTCATTAAAAATGTGAGTCTACCCTCAAGTCCTATTACAGTACTTTATTAATAGAGCACGGACTTCAGGGTAGACTGTCACATTTTTAATAAATTTGTTTCTGATTATTTGTGAGAGGATTTTCCAATTGTTGTTTATTTGTATGTGTTTTGTGTGTGTAAAAATAATAATTAATACAGTAATAATAATAATAATAATAATAATAATAATAATAATAATAATTAATGGTTTATTGAAAAAGTTCTACAGCCAGAAGGCTGAAAATATACATTGGACAAAAATGACTTATTACAAACAAAGACATGGGGGAAGGTGGGTCATTTAACAAAAGCTTTCATTTCTGAAAGGAGGAGGAACATGAATTGAACATACAAATTATTATACAGTATTACCCCGCTTTGTGATTTCTCATTTACGCGGCACCTTGCCAGAACCGGACTTTCACTTTCCGCGGTGCATCTACTCATATACGCGGTGAAATATAATTTTTTTTTTTTATTTAGCTCATAAAATTCATACAAATTACCCTGCCAGACTATAATTTACATTGCTGGAATTCTTGCAATGTGATGATCATTTTGAATATAAACATCATGGATTTTGCATTAGACTTACAAATTTTAGATCTAATGTAATAATTTGGTTTACACAAAGCAAATATTTTATCATTTGCGCAAAATATATGAAGTTTACATTCAAAATATTCCCTGACCTGCAAGGAATCTAGAAATGTCAATTATATTATCCTAACTTTAGTCTGGGTTATTATTTATTACTAAAAATGTCAATATACTATTTTCTCCCAATCACTTCTCTGGTAGGGAGGGAAGGTGGGGGGTAGGAAGGGAGGGAGGCGGAGGTGGGGTATTTTGATTGACAGATAATGTCCTTGAAGAATATTTCTTTGTTTATTTACCGAGATATTTGTTTTAGCTCATAAAATTCATACAAATTACCCGGCCAGAATATAATTTACATTGCTGGAATTCTTACAGTATGATGATCATTTTGAATATAAACATCATGGATTTTGCATTAGACTTACAAATTTTAGATCTAATGTAATAATTTGGTTTACACAAAGCAAATATTTTATCTTTTGTGCAAAATATATGAAGTTTACATTCAAAATATTCCCTGACCTGCAAGGAATCCAGAAATGTCAATTATATTATCCTAACTTTAGTCTGAGGTATTATTTATTACTAAACGTTAAAATCTAGTGTTTCACCCAATCATTTCTCAGAGAGGTAGGAGCTAGTGAGCTGGGAAGAGGGGGGGGGGGATTTGAGTCCATTATTTGAATGGACATTAACCTGGCGACTGTATTTCTCTTAAATATTAATTGTGTGAGCATACCATCACAAAATTTAGATGTTATTTTTACTACAACATAGGTATTGTGTCGGAAAAAGTGGAGTTTGGGGGTCGGGCCAGTCTCTATTGGAATTAATCCCATATGTTCTGTTGTTCACTTTACGTGGTTTTCACTTTCCGCGGTACCCTGTGGGTTCAATTGACCGCGTAAATCGGGGTACTACTGTAGTTTACAGTTGATGGCCTGGACCTAGGCTGGTCATTGAGACACCAGATGGTGTGGTGTAGTAACTCATCCTCGGGTGTTGATATGAAGGACCTCACGTGGTCATGGAGACATCGGGTGGTGTGGTGTTCACTTGGTGCAGTAACTCGTCCTCGGGTGTTGATATGAAGGACCTCAACGTGGTCATGGAGACACCTTGTGGTGTGGTGTGGGGTGGTGTCACGGTACCTCACTCTGCTGGGTGGTGTTGAGTTATTTCATAGTCAGGTGCATAGCCGGCCCCCTGTTATTCCCAGGGTGGATGGATTAACACCGTCTGGCCAGAGGATGGTTCCCAGGGGTGGGTCACGGCTCTCACTGGCACTGTCTAGTGCTGAATTCACTGTCTTAAACACTGTCCATCACTGTTCAACACTGATCCCACTTCTTTCCGAAATGAAATTGTCACTTTTGATTATGTAGATATCCTGGTGGTGAGGATGGGTTGGGGAGAGGGACTTCAGGAATGGGGCTGAACATGGCCAAGGGGGGCTGCTGCTCAGCAGGAGCATTGCCTGAATAGGTCTTGACCCTACGGTGGTCAAGGATGTGTGTACAGTATGTGTGTGTGTGTGTGTGTACACACACACACACACACACACACATATAAAATACTACAGGTAAAAGAAATAATTGTCCTAAGGGCAAACACATAAAGAGAATATACATTTCTTTGTACACAAATAAAAATGTAACACTCCCCCCCCCCCCACAAATGTTATTTGCGGATTTGGCGATTCGCGGCCACTTTGAGAACCTAACTCCCGCGAATTTGGGGGGCCCCCCCTGTCCATATTTACCTTGTGGGAGGGTCATTTTCGGTTTAAAGAAAATTTGCCTTACAGATAGGGTCCAGGAACGGAACCTTTCCATAACCCGGGGAGTGTACGTACATTTTTGTTAGCCGTAAATATTTTCGCTTGCGAGTGTAACCTAAATGTAATGGCAGTGTGTTTGTCCATATGTGATGCATAGTTTAGACTCCTGTAAAACTCTACCCAGTACCCGAAAAAATTCTGGGGATGTGCGATATTTTCCAGGGATGAGAAATTAGTTTCCGTACCCAGAAGTCTCCCATTCCCAGAATTGCTCTGCACAAATTATTTTGACTAATGGGGATATCACTAGAGTGAATAAGCTCTTTATCAAAATATAAAACGAACTATAAACCATACTCCTGGCTACCCAGGAATTTTTGGAAATTTACTTCTAAAGGACTTTTTTAAGAACTTGATTGTGAGGAGAATTAGTCCTAGCCACCTACACTGAGGTTCTGACCTGCAGACATGGTGAACATGAGGTGCCCTATGAAGGGCACTAAGCTATAATACTTAAATTCGACAAGTCACCATGACATACCTGCAATGGACGGTGATTGGCCCGGCTTCTGATGGATTAACATGACGGACACGCCTAAGGAACATGAGGAATGGTGAAGGATGATCAGGAACACCATGGTCAGGCCAAGCAGTGAATTGGAACTGTCGAATCTCACGTCGATCCAGGCTACCAGACTGCAAGATGAGGTTTATACTTTCAGATTCATTAAACTCATCAGAACTTCATAACTTTGTCATTTACATCCTTGCATAAATAATCAAGAATCCTAAACCCTGCTACAATTTAAAAATTATCCATAAGCATAGCTTCTTCCACCAATGCTCCATTAACTTTTAATGCACTAATCTACCCAACACGAAAGCAAACCCGCTGACACATGAGGTGCTGCAAGTTGGCATACGACCACCAATTCAAATATGGTAGTAACACACCCCACACATCTGCCTTCCTCCCTGAAAGCAATAAGCTGGCTAAATAAGGCACAATATTCTGGATTAGTTAAGTACAATAATTTAGCTAAAGTGCAATAACATAGCAAAATTAAGCATAACAACTTGGCACAATATTCCTTACTAATTCAAGTACAATACTGCTGTTAAATTAAGCACATTAACCTGATTTGATTACTGAAAGCATAAGAACTTGGTTAAATTAAGCACAATAACTAGCCAATTTGTGAAGAAATAACTTGCCAATCAGAAAAGGATCTAAGCTAATTTATACATTAACCTGAGTAAAACAGAGTGCAATATGCTGGTAAATTAAGAAAAATTGTATGGTTCATCAAAGCACAATAACCAACGTATAATTGCAGTAATACATTGATTTTTATTAGCTCCCCCCAAAGCTAAATTATACCTCATATTACAGGAACTGAAGCTTTATTTGTAAAACACATAATACTCTACTGCCTGCAAAATGCCAAAATCCCAAACCAAGAACAATTGGATCTCAAAAAAATTTGGCACTCGGGCATATTTCACCTGATTATTAACACCCTAATTGTTAATTGTGAAGGGGGGGATGTAGTTTAGCATTAGGGTGTTTAATCACCATGTGAAATAAGCAAAGGTTCCATATCTTTTTGAGATCTGAATAATTACATATAAATATAAATTTCAATGAAACAGTAGTAAAGGCCAATCAGATAAACAAAGGTTACATATGAAATGGCCAACAGAATTTCATTGCTCTATGGTGAATACCTTTTATGTAATTATGATGACAAAATTGAGTGGGATGAAAGTACAGTACAGGTGAAAATAAATATACACTAGTGTGTCCATATCTGACAATATGCTTGAAGATGGATAAGAAAAGGGTCATGTGAAAAATTCTTACATCTAATAGATTTGATAAAAGTGTAGTACAGTATAGTATACAGTGTTTGAAAGAAAAACATGTGATTGAATATTTCCACTTACTCTCTGAAGCTGGAATGTCCTGACAGTGTAAGTAGCCAGCTCCTGCACATCAGTCAGTGTTACGTGCATGATGCCATATGTCTCGGTGGCAGACACTCTTGAGGGCCAATACTGGTCACACTTGATTCTTGTACGCTCTTCCAGCTTGGTCATCATCACAATGGTACAGGATCGTTGCTCCCAAAGCATACGCCACAAATCTCCAAATGTCTCAGGAAGAGGACCCTGGAAAATAAACCCAAGTAAATTCAAGTACAGAATACAACTGGAAAAAAAAGTACCCATTACATATTTACAAAGGACATTTAAAATATTACAATTATTCCACAAGATACAAAATATGCAGGTAAAGACATCAATTGGCTGCCACACTTTTACCTGAGTGGCAATGTAAGCATTTTGTTTCCGGTAACCATCACAGAAGTTAGCATTGATGTAGTCACTGCCAGGTACTCCCTCAACTGTCTGAAGGACCACCCTTGAATGGTCATAAGCAATGACATTGGCATAACGATTCTTGGGTTTATTTATTTCTAAGTTACTATTATCCCATGTAAATTGCTGTCCAGGTTCAATTGACTGAAATGAAAAGAAATTTTAGTATAGTATTAGATTTAAATTACATGTAACTGATAAACAATAAACTCTACAGAATAACTTTAAAGCCTAAATACTGTATAATCATTTTAAATAAGTGTATTTGGTGGTCATTTTTAAGGCAAAGCAAATATTTTTGTTTAAGAAATTACAGGACATTGCCTTCTTAATTCAAAACAATACTTTTTCCAAATGAACTTATTGCTGAACTATCAACAATCCCATTGTAAAATTAAATATATAAAGTATAAAAAACTGTATACCTCATATTCCTGGGAGAACTTCTGATTGTCATTGGCTTTCAATATTTCTATATGATCAGCTAATTGTGCAATGGGTATTGGAGGGTGAGAGATCATGGCAGGAGTTTGGAAATTGAGTCGTCGCATCTCTACAGGATCTGATGGGGCAGCTGGGATGATTCCAACACCACCACCACCTCCACCACCACCACCAACTCCACCACCATGGCTACCACCAAGGTCTGCCATTAATGGCTTTGTCACTTGGGCTTGATCTGGTGACTTTGGCTGCCGACGACGTCTGGAGAAAAAAGTGACATATGTAGTGATGATGGATGATGTTATATGTAGTGATGATGGATGATGTTATATGTAGTGATGATGGGTGGTGTTATATGTAGTGATGATCTATATATATAAAACAAAGAAGTCTGTCTGTCTGTGTGTTCACCTTTCTCTGGGATGCCATGACCTACGTCAGAAACTATGGACGACCAGATCTCTTCCTTACTTTTACATGCAACCCTGTATGGACTGACATAACAGAAGCTCTAATGGAAGGCCAGAAAGGACAAGGTCGACATGACATTATAGCGAGAGTATTTCGTCAGAAAGTGATCAAACTCTGGACTTGCTTACAAAAGCATCAATCTTTGGCCCTACATGGCACTACATGTACTTCATTGGGTGGCAGAAACGAGGTCTACCACATGTCTTGATCTGGTTGAAAGAGAAACTTCGACCGAACATGATTGACAACTGCATACGAGCAGTTTCCTGATCCAGAAGAAGATCCAGTTCTCTATGAGATCATCAAGAAGCAAATGATTCATGGGCCATGTGGATCATTCAACAGACACTCTCCCTGCATGAAAGATGGACGTTGCAACAAAAACTTCCCAAAAGACCTGATAAAGGATACTCAGAGTGGAGAAGATGGGTATCCTCAGTACAGGAGAAGAGTGCCAGGCGATGGAGGTTTTACAGCAGTGTTACGACCTGGAACAGACAGTGAAATAACAGTAGACAAATACGTCAACAAAGGCTCTGACCAAGCGATCTTTGCATTGGAAAAGGATGGAAATCATGATGAGTTTCAGCAGGGCCGTTATATATGCAGCAATGAAGCCCTATGGAGAAATTTTAATTTTCCCATACACGAACGATGTCCAACAGTAGTTCATCTGGCTGTTCACCTGGAAAATGGACAAAGAGTATACTTCACAGAAGAGTCTCTCCAAAATCAAATGGCAATTCCTGCTGATACGACTCTCACTGCATTCTTTAAGCTTTCACAGGAAGATGAGTTTGCTCAAATACTGTACTCCTGTATGTTGATGTACCCAAGTTCTACATATGGCAGGCTTCAATGAAAAAGTTTCAGAGAAGAGCTCAAGGCTCCGATGTTGAAGGACATCCAGGGATAAAGTCAGGCAATGCTTTGGGACGTGTCTACACGGTTCACCCCAACAACTTTGAATGCTATTGTTTGAGACTACTTTTGCACCACATCCGTGGCCCAACATCATATGCAGCACTCAAGACAGTGAATGGACAAGTCTGCAGAACCTATCAGGAAACGCGTAATCTCCTTGGCCTACTGGAAGATGATGGTCACTGGAATGACACATTAGAAGAGGCAGCAGCTACTCAATCGCCAATGAGAATGAGGAACCTGTTTGCCATCATGATTGCTACATGTGGAGTTTCCAACCCAAGCCAGCTCTGGAAAAACCACCAAGAAAGTCTTTCAGAGGATCTGCTTCATCAAGCAAGAAGAGGACATCCTGGTCAAGAGATTGAGTTCATGGATGACATGTTCAACAGGGCTCTGATCATGCTGGAAGACTAAGTGATGGAGCTATGTGGAAAAAACCTGACTGATTTTGGATTGCCTTCCCCAAACCGAGAAGAACCAGTAACTGCAAACAGGGAGCTGCTCAGAGAGACAGGCTACTCAGTTGAAGTTCTGGTGAATTTTGTTGAAGAAAATGAGCTCCACCTGGTGCCTGATCAAGCAAATGCTTATGAGTAGATCTTGCAAGCGATACAAGCGGAGCAGGGAGGTACGATCTTTCTTGATGCAACTGGTGGGACAGGAAAAACATTCTTGATCAACCTTCTGTTGGCCAAAGTACGTCATCTGGGGAAAATTGCTCGAGCTGTGGCATCCTCAGGCATTGCTGCAACACTAATAGAAGAAGGACGTACTGCACACTCAATTTTTAAACTGCCTCTCAACCTCGCTCACAATGAGAATCCAGTGTGCAACATCAAAAAAGGATCGGCAAAAGCAAAACTCTTAGAAAAGTGCAGCCTCATAGTCTGGGATGAATGCACTATGTCTCACAAGTTAGCTGGAGATTCGCCAGATCCTACCTGTCATTCCTCGAAGCACTCCAGTTGATGAACTGAATGCGTGCCTCAAGGCATCATACCTTTGGAGAAGTGTTCAGACACTCGCCCTATCAACAAACATGAAAGTACATCTACAAGGAGATCAGGATGCTGGACAGTTTGCAAACCTTCTACTACAGATTGGGCGACATGTCGTTGGTCAATAGGCGGGCTGTCTCCCACATAATTTATAAATATGCTTATCCAATTTTAAACATGTATGAAAGTTTTACATAATAAACATCCTCCTCCTCTAGAATATAAATGCAAATGTGTAAAAACATGGTGCCAGCATGTCACTGAGCAGGGGCAGATTCAGGAATATCAAAAGGGTAAAGTCCAAGAAGTTGTGGGTGGGGGAACATGGCAGGCACAGCGAGCCAACTGAGCTGGAGGATTTTGGGGGGACGCTGTAACCCCCCACCCCACCCAAATTATTATTTTTTTTAAATCAAGCCAATATCACGGGCTTTTTCAGGTCATTTTGAAGCCATGCGCACTTGATTTTAAGATATTCTGAGGTCAATAGTAATTACTTTTTACTGTACCATAAAAAATGCCTGAGTACAATACTGCATGAAAGAAAAAGTATTGGAATTTTCTGATGAAAAAGACGGGGTCCAGACCCCCAGGACCCCCCCTCCCCTGGATCCGCCCCAGCCGAGTTAACCAAGCTCACTCTATCTATGGCTGTGTCTCACTGATGCATAATGCCATCTTCTGGCATGCTTAGTATGGACATCTCAGTACTGTACAATGAGTAATGATCATAACAATAACAGCCAAGTGAGTAGTAACATTACAAATTTGATTTTTTCCTCATTTTAAGAAAACAACGGCTACAGCAGGAAAATACACTCAAAAGTTTTTTTATTAAACATTCCCTGCTGAAATATGAGTGTGTGTGTGTGTGTGTGTGTTATAAGCAGTAACATATGGTAATATAGTAGCTTTTATATATAAAAAAAAAAAATATATATATATATATATATATATAATAAAAAGTGTGTTTAACAGTTCACTTTATATGAGCTGATGGCAAACTTAATGGTCACTTTAAAGAAAACACTTATTCTATGCTCTAAATACAAAATATTCAAAACCAACATTAACAAATCAAATCTTCCTAAAAATCCTTTACTACATATAACCCAAAACTTACTTCCATACAAAAAGGAACAAGAAGAGAGAGATGACCACAAGAAGTACAGCTCCAATTACTGGTCCGACGATCATCAGCATTTCCATGTCTTTCACATTGTCTTGAATATGAACATCTGATGGGTCAGTCGGCTCAAATGGGTTGGGCCTTCTGGGTAATTCTCCTGAGGGTGCTGGACGCATGTCAAGTGAGATGTAGGCCGAAAATGGTGATGACGTGTACAGATGCTGCAAATAAAATAATTATTAAAAACCATATGGTTAGTACAATGTCATTTAAATACTACATTGCCACACTCAAGTTAGTAAATTAGTTAAATTCGTTAACTTCCATTTCCAGGGGTATTTTTTTAATATCGAATTTTGAGCACATTTTTTTTCTGTGGAAACTTAAAAAAAATTTAGTGGTTTAAAGTGGAGGAAATAGTAGGCATGAGTGCCTGGAAGTAACAAGGAAACAATATTGGTGCCACAAAGATATAACTTTTTCTGTTTTCTAAAGAACTGATTGTGCATATGATCTACTATGCATAGGAAGACCGAGGATTACTTTGAGGGAGCACTTACTGATACAACAACCAGTCGAAGAAAACTAGGAAAAAATAAATAAAAAATTAACGTAGGAAAAAATCCCAGACAGCCACTAGGGCACAAAAGGACACAAATCTTAGTTCTTCTTAGCAAGAAAACAAGAGAAGATCCAAGGTTCCAAGAAGTCAGTGAAGAAGATGTGGATGAACTGCTGAGCACGGACGACCCACTAACGACTGAAGAAGCCCGAGAGTTAGCCGAGATGAATAAGAAACATGAGGAAGAGGAGGAAGCCGAAGATGAGCCCCACACATAAAGAAAGAGTGGAAAATCACGCAACTTGAGGAATACATGTCCTTAATATCTGCTGCCATCTAGTGCGTTAGGGACAACAATCCTGATGTGGAGAGGGCTACAGAGCATGTAGACAACTTGTACAGGATCTCTTCTACCTACAGTCATCTGCTGGACAGGAAGATAGCCAACCAGAAGCAGAGGTCCATCACTTCCTACTTCCAGCCCCTTTCTCGCTCTGAAGGTAAGTTTAGGTTTGTGTTTTTTTAATGAAATAGTGAAAAAACAAGATTACTTGTATAGGTGCATTCCAGAGTGCTAAGAGAGTTGTGTAACAATCTTGCTAAGGCCCTTAAGATCTTATTCAGTAGATACCTGGATCAACAAAAGGTCCCCAGTGACAGGATAATGGCTTATGTGAATCCTATATTAAAGCAAGGTGATAATCACTTCACAAATAATTATAGACCAGTGAACCTGACCAGCATAGTGTGTAAAGTATCAGAGAGCATTATAAGAAATGCCATGATAGAACATCTCCAACGAAACAACCTTGTAGAGAACTGCTTGACACAATTACTCAATGTACTGGATGTTTGAACTCAAATTCTGGAACAGGGTAGCAATATTGACAATATATAACCACATTTTGCCAAGGCTTTCGACAGCGAACACCATGAAAGGCTGAGAATTAAATCGGAAGGGTAAGGGATTTGGGGAAGTGACCTAGCGTGGATTGGAGACTTTCTTCAGGACTGCAAGCAGTGTGTGGTGATTATGGACAGGAAAACGTCTTGTGTACCCGTGACAAACAGGGCACCACAAGGCAGTGAACTGGGCCCATTATTGTTTGTTATACACTCCTCCATTCAAATGTTTGTGGATGATGCCAAGTTATTCAGGGAAATTAAGAACCAAACAGACTGTGAAGAGCTACAGAAAGATCTCTGCCAGCTTCAAGAGTAGTCGAAGAAATGGATGCTAAGATTCAAAGTCATGAAATGTTATAGGATGCACCTAGGTCATACCAGCAGGAAGGAGGCATATCCCATGTCCCAACGGGATGAAGAAACTGCATGTGAAGAGGAACTGGGTGTGTATGTTGACAACAAACTGAAGTTCTCGGGCCATTGTGAGAAGAAGGTGAATCAAGCAACGAAGCTAGGTCTTATAAGAAGGTCGTTCAGATACCTAGATGGTCAGTCCCTCATAGCACTCTTCAAGAGGGAGTTGCTTCCTCGTTTGGAGTACAATACTGTCACCCTGTATGGTCCCAGAGATATATCTAGAGACTGTCAATTGATTGAAAATATCCAAAGGAGGGCCAACAGACTGGTGCCTGCACTACGGCACCTCAATTACTCAGAGAGATTGGAACGCCTGCAACTGCCTAGCTTACGGTAAACTATAGATGGGCGAGGGGTGACTTAATTGAAGTTTACAAACATCTCAGAGGACACTCCTTAGTCGAGTGTTCATACCTGGAGCTGGCGGACACCCGCCCCACTGGAGGTCACAGCTCAAGGTTGAAGAAACCACAAGTCCAGACCAAACTCTTTTGAAGAGTGAGAATTGTAAACTCTAGGAATAATCTGCCAGAGAAAGTTGTGACAGTACTGAGTGTGAACTCTTTCAAATCCAGACTTGACCAACACTAGCACAGGTACAGATACATCCTGGAGCCAGTATATGCTCAGTACTTGCCAACTGTGTGTAAAAGAGACATAACCGACTGCCCAATCGGCTAATGAACTGATCAGTGGCGAAGAGGGTAAAAGAAAAAAATCACAAAATACCAAACCAGTTGATTCCCAATTTAAAGATGAATAATGTCTTTAGTGCAGCAGATATACTGCAGTAGAGGAAGTGAAACTGACCATTTAGATATAAATTGAAATAAATGTTTCGATTAGCTTTACAAAACACACCACAAGAAACATATAAGTATGAAGAGCATCCCAAGTTTACTTTACACCAGAATTAAACACGAGGCAATTGAACTCTTATGATTTATTTTGTAGACTGGACCAGCTACTTACTTGACCGGGAGTGTCCACCACTGCTCTTACAAAAATCTTATATCTGTAACAAGAAAATAATCTGTTAATAAGACAAGGAAATACTACTTCATCTCGAGTTGTCAATGAAATTATATCAAGAGAAATGTTTTTGTTTTAATCTCTCAGTACATACATCTTGTTTAAACTTGAAAATAGCTTGCAACCAATCACTAGATGTACATGCACTTACTTAGGTCACCAACTACACTGCCATCCTCCTTGTTAACTGACTGACTTGTTTTCCACTTAATACCATTTGCCTTAAATTATTATACTAAAATTGTGTGAACAGCCAATGAGAAGCACCACCAACACACTCCAGAATATATAGCTAACAATATAAACAATAAAATACATTTTCTTTATAAACATTATGATTCTTCTCCGAGTTATTTTTAATCAGTGTATTATTTGCTCACTTTCTCACAATTTCATTCACTAATGCCACTATAACACTGCAATGTAATTTCTTATTTTCATTAAATAATACAGAACCATGTACAGTCTCGTTCAAGATTCTTCGAAAACTGCTGGAGACGGCTGGCAACTCGAGGCCGTTTGTTTACTATAGTACGTAGTATAATACAAAGTATAATACTAAACAACAAAGCCCAACCATTAAATTATGCAACAGGGAATTAAGTAGCCAATCACTGATCACTTTTACATTCATTCATAATTTTTACTACATACTATAGTAAACAAACGGCCTTGAGTTGCCAGCTGTCTCCAGCAGTGTTCGAAGAATTTTGAACGAGACTGTCCTATATAAAGCTGTTTTACTTTTTACTTTAATCTACTTTTATCTCACTCTTTTAAGGAGTTCACTTACACACTACAGTACCACAATCTGAATTTTATCTGATGTGCTACAACTGTGTTCCATCCATGCACCGAGAACTGAAAACTTACCCTCCAGTACTGGTAAATAAAAACATATTCTGATAAACTAAACAACACAAGAAAAATAAGTAAATAATTTGCAACTTAAAAAAGACCCAGGTACACTGGAGCATCCTACCTCTTTTCTTTCTGTAAAGCATCATACCTCTTCTTTTTCTGAAGAGGTCTGTTCTTGAAGCCCTCATATATCTGGCCATTGCCAAGAGAGAAGGAGTATGGGATATTACGGTGTAGGAACTTAGCAGCAATATAAGGACCTTCTGCTAGAGCCTCCTTACTTCCTGCTTTGTTAGCTATAAGCTGTAAAAATTCAGAAACTTAGTGTTTGTCAAAACTTATTATATAGGATGACAACCTATTTCGAAATTAAAGCTTGAGTGTCACTCCAAAACTATAAAACTACATTCAAGTTTAGTTGCAACACCATTTTCTTTACATGTACTTTGGCCTTGACCATGTTCTTAATGCAAAAATATAATCACAAGAATTTATATTAAAAGTTCAGAATTCTTTAAAACTTCACCTTATAAACTATAAGAATAAAGTGAAATGTAAATACTTACATCATCGGTCAGATACTGATCAGGATTCTTAAAGATTTGCTCCTTGTCTTCTGGTACAACAATGAGGTAGTAAAAAGCAATGGGGCCATATTCCTCCGAGGCCTGGGGTAGGATCATAGCAATCTCATGGTCACCTTTCACTCCATAGAAGTCTGGCTTCACCATAGGCTGGGGAGCTATCACAGAAAACTTGGTATTATACACTTAATCAAACTTGAGAATGAAGGGTCCAAGTTAGTGAGAGTTTACTGTGCCATTGTTTTTTGCCACTTTTACCACATTTGTCTGCATGTTTGTTTACAGGTGCACATGCAGAAACTGTGTTGAAATATCAGTAGTAGAAGAATCTGTTTAGTGTCAAGAGCAGGAGAAAGCAGATCTAGTCAGTAAAACACATAAGAGAGTAAACTCCTCTTAAGAACAAGCTTCTGAAGAATGATCCAAAAGGGCTTGGCTTTAATCTAGATCACAATTCTGACAGGCATGGGTCTCCCACAGGGGTTTCATACAATAAGGTCACTGGTCAGAGAAAATTAAATTTTCCTGACACTACTACACTGTTTGATGACACTCTGAAGTGCATGCATACTACATACAATGCACTATGCACTAAGGGCTTAGCTCTCGTTAGGTCTACAGCAAATCTGGTTAGACCACTGTTCAGTATTCAGTGAGCAAGTGTTGTTCTTTTCATAATATTTTTGTTTTAACTTTTACCCATTTCTTAGAACCCTTTACTATCCGCATTATAGATACTACATACTCTACAAAAAAATTTCATGTAAAAGAGTGTAAGTAGCGAGGTGCGACACTGATACTATACACATGAGAGGCAGGACTGAAACTGAGACTTGAGTCTGAGGCAGTGAGACACGTGCCGCACGACACCCACACACAGACGTTCAACTGCATGTACAAACACACAATCCGTCTTGACTGATGCTGAATTTTCCAGATTTAAAAAAAATATATCTAGTCAATATATGAGCAGTCGAAGAGCACCTCAGAGTCCGAAAAAAGCAAATTCTGATATACTGAAGTCCGATTTATAGATGTTTTACTGTACCCTGTCCTGTACATTTATCTCAAGGAATTATTATACAGTACGCCTGGATAATTCGCGGATTTTTATTTTGCAGTCCTCTATAATTCGCGGATGACACCCTGGATGTACCCAAGAATGTCTGCGGGTAGTTTCAAGGTTGCCGGCATTTCCACGGCCGGCATTGGGAGCGTGCGAGTTTTGTGCCATCCCGCAAGGTGTCTCTCTTGTCCCGGGAAGCTGGCCCATGCATGCCCGCCCGCTCCCTCCACCCGAGTCTGGGATAAACATTTGTACGTCTCGCGTGTGTGCTACTCTCCTCTCACAACAACTGTGCTCCTCCTACTTGTTATGGCTCCCAAATGCCCTCAACCACCTTCATCATCATCTCCAGATGAAGTGGAAGAAATTATGGAATTGCAACAAGAAGGTTGGGGCTTGAACAATTTTGGTGAACTTATTCGACATGTTAAGGTGGTAACTGATTTCGTTATTGTCCACAACCCTTCCATGGAACGGAGCCTTAAGATGGTCCGAGAAATCAACCAGGCATTGGTTCCCTGCCAGGAAATGTTTAAAGACCTCAAAACCAAAAGGAAACAACTACCAATCACAATGTTTTTCAAGAAAGAACCAGCCGCTTGCCCAGCTGATTCGTCTCCCTCACTCACTCGGTGAGCTGCTGCTGCTGCCACTCCACCACCCTCCTCCCTACCATGCGCCACCTCACCACCTGCCTGCCGGCCACACGCCACCTCACCACCCACCTCCCGGTTACGTGCCTCTCCACCAACCGCCACTGCATCACCCTCTTCCAACAGTGATCCTGATGATCCACCTATACTTCAGTAGCTAGATGTCTCCCTACTGTACATTACACCACTTCATCAAGCTCCAAATTTCCACATACAAAGGTAAGTAGTATTGGTGACTTAAGTTTTTCATACACAGTATAGTTATACAGTAGTGCACTAAGGTAGTATAAATTGCTATTTGCGGTTTTGCCAATTTGCTCCATTTCTTGGAATGTAAACCCCGGGGCAAACAGCAAGGGTTTACTGTATTTTTTCTTACATTCAATACTTCTTTGTTGGTGAAACAAGTAGAATCAAAATAAATATCTTGCGTTCAGGTTATAATTTGACAATATATTTTCACTTACCCGCCATCTGAGTTGTGACAGTAATTTTTGCAGGTGGACGGTAGTCATTTGTCTGGGGTACAGCAGTGACATTCACAGTGTAGGTAGTGAAAGGCCGTAAGTCCTCTATAATATAACTATATTTTCGATAGTTGACAATATTAGTAACAGGTGGGACTCTCTGGACCTGTGTGACACCTTGGGCATCAACAAATTCTTTCACTGCACTGTAGGTCACCTGCAATCATAAACCAAACTTGTGTTACTCCCAAATGTTACAAAAGATCATTAGGAAAGAACAAATGTATGATGCCCCTCGGCTTCAAGGATAAAATACTCCCAGTGTCTGACAGAAGCATTAAAATGAGACAAAGGAAAACTTCCATGTCATACTGTATCTACTGTACTGTACATACAACTTAGGGTAAAATACATGATTTTTTTTTAGATATACTGTAGTAAAGTACCTTTGAAAAAATAATTAAACAATTACTAATTTTATTACATTACAGGTTGACAACCCTTTATCCGAAATTCCAAAAACCGAAAAGCTCTGAAAACCGAAAGTGTTTTTTTGGAGCATTTTATTTATTTTTTTTCTTGTGTGTATTAGCCCACCCGGGCACAGGTCACTGACCCACATTGGGGCCTGGGGGGTGAAAATGTAATAGTAATAATAATTATAATAATAATAATAATGATAATACAGCAATAATAATAATTATTCATAGTAAATACAAATTTTAATAAAAAATACACAAAAATAAAATAAGAATGATAACAATAATAATAATAACAATAATATTGTAATAATAAAATAATATTAATAAAGAAATACAGGAATGAAAAAAAGATCAAAAGTGAGAAACACGACCTAAACCTATGAATTATTATTATTATTATTATTATAATTATAATTATAATTATAATTATAATTATTATTATTATTATTATTATTATTATTATTATTATTATTATTATTATTATTATTATTATTATTATTATTATTATTATATTTTAGCTCCCAGGCCCCAATGTGGGTCAGTGACCTGTGCCCGGGTGGGCTGATCCTGTGTAAAAAAAAAAAACCCTAACCATTCTGAAAACCGAAAAATTCCAAAAAATGAAATGCATCTGGTCCCAAGGATTTCGGATAAGGGATTGTCAACTGTACCAAGAACAATATTGACCCCTTCAATAGTTTATTTGACCAATGCCAGCCAATTTTATTCAGCATAGAAGGGACCCTGTACACAAGGGGTTAACACAGCTGACAACATGTTTGCAATACTACAAACTCTGAACTCCAACCTCAGTACAGTATTAGACTTAACTAATGATTAATAAACTAATCCAATGCTCATATTTTTTTTCCAATTTCACTATTCAATGACTTTGCTGAAGACTGTAAACGATTGTACAAGAATTAAGAGCCATATCTCACCTTAAAATGTATGGGATTAAGCTGGATAGGTGGACCCCATGTAAGGTTGGCAGAGTGTGTGGTTACATGGTGAGCACGCAGGTGCATAGGTACGTCAATCGGTTTCACTCGCACTTGCAGCAGAGTTGAAAGGCGACCCAAACCCTAGATGAAAAAGAAAATCACATTAATCTACTTCCCCATAAAGTCGATAATCTACTTTCCCTTAAAGTAGATAATCTACTTTTTGGGAAAGTAGATTACCAACTTTACCAGAAAGTAGATATTTCCCATTTTCTATGATGCAAATTTCCCGTTTTCTATGATAATCTACTTCGGAAAATTAGGTAATATTTCCCGAATAGTCGATAATTTACTTCCCCGAAAAGTCGATAATCTACTTTTCCGAAAAATAGATAATCTACTTTATGGTTAAGTAGATTACCAACTTTCCCAGAAAGTAGATATTTCCCATTTTGTGATACAAATTTCCCGTTTTCTATGATAATCTACTTCGGAAAATTAGGTAATATTTCCCAAAAAGTCAATAATCTACTTCCCCAAAAAGTCAATAATCTACTTACCCAAAAAGTCGATAATCTACTTCCCCAAAAAGTCAATAATCTACTTCCCCAAAAAGTCGATAATCTACTTTCCCGAAAAGTAGATAATCTACTTTTCGGGAAAGTAGATAACCAACTTTCCCGGAAAGTAGATATTTCCCATTCTATGATACAAATTTCCCGTTTTCTATGATTTCTACTTCGGAAAATTAGACAGTAATATCGTGTCAATAATTCATTTCAAAGCTGCCAATTCATTTCCAAAAAGTCGATACACCCATTCGAGGTAGATAATCTACTGCGCAGAGGTTCCCGCGAAAGTAGATATTTCATTTCTGCGATACACCTTTCCTGTTTCTATGATAATCTACTTCGGAAAATTAGATAATATTTCCCAAAAAGTCAATAATTCATTTCAAAATGATATCTATTTTCCTGAAAGTAGATAATTCTACTTTTGAAAGTAGATAACCAACTTTCCTTAAAGCAGATATTTCAATTTATGATACAATTTTCCTGTTTTCTAGATAAATTACCGGAAAATTAGATAATATTTCAAAAGTCACAATTCATTTCCCCAAAAAGTCACAATCTACTTCAAAAGTCGATATCTACTTCGAAAAGTAGATAATCTACCGAAAGTAGATAACCAACTTCTTCCCGGAAAGTAGATATTTCATTTTCTATGATACAAATTTCAAGTTTCTATGATAATCTACTGGAAAATTAGATAATATTTCTGTAAGTCATTAACGATTTCAAAAAAATATATACTCATTTTCTTTCTGAAAAGTAGATAATTCATTTTTCGGGAAAAAGTAAATAATCAAATTTTCCCGAAAGTGAAAGCATTTCTATTTTCTATGATACACCTTTTCCCGTTTTCTATGATATAGATAATCATCTCCGGAAAGTAGATATTTTCATTTTCATGATACAATTTTCCGTTTTCATGATAATCTACTTCTGAAAATTAGACAATATTTCAAAAAGTCAATAATTCATTTCAAAAAGTCACACCATTTCAAAGTTTGATAATTCATTTGAAAAGTAGATAATTCATTTTTCGAAAGTAGAGGTCAACTTTCCTTAAGTAGATATTTCCTACTTATGATACAATTTCCTGTTTCTATGATAATTACTGAAAATTAGATAATATTTCCCAAAAAGTCAATAACTACTTCTCAAAAGTCGATAATTCATTTAAAAGTGATAATTCATTTTTCGAAAAGTAGATAACCAACTTCCCGGAAAGTGATATTTCCATTTTCATGATGCTGCTACAAATTTGTTTTCTATGATAACTACTTCGGAAATTAGATAATATTTCCCAAAGTCGATAATCTACTTTCCCGAAAAGTAGATAATCTACTTTTCGGGAAATGAATAACCAACTTTCGGAAAGTAGATATTTCCCATTTCTATGATACAAATTTTCCGTTTTTATGATAATCACTTCGGAAAATTAGATATTTCAAAAGTCAATAATCTACTTCCCAAAAAGTCAATAATCTACTTCCCAAAAGTCGATAATCTACTTTCCCGAAAAGTAGATAATCTACTTTTCGGGAAAATTAACTTTCGGTAGATATTTCCATTTTCTATGATACAATTTTCCCGTTTCTATGATAGTAGATAACCAACTTTCGGAAAGTAGATATTTCCCATTTTCTATGATACAATTTTCCGTTCTATGATAATCTACTTCGGAAAATTAGATAATATTTCCCAAGTCAATAATCTCTTCCCCAAAAGTCAATAATCTACTTCCCAAAAAGTCGATAATCTACTTTCCCGAGTAGATAATCTACTTTTGGGAAAATGAATAACCAACTTTCGGAAAGTAGATATTTCCCATTTTCTATGATACAAATTTCCGTTTTTCTATGATAATCTACTTCGGAAAATTAGATAATATTTCCCAAAAAGTCAATAATCTACTTCCCAAAAGTCAATAATCTACTTCCCCAAAAGTCGATAATCTACTTTTCCGAAAAGTAGATAATCTACTTTTCGGGAAAGTAGATAACCAACTTTCCCGGAAAGTAGATATTTCCCATTTTCTATGATACAATTTTCCCGTTTTCTATGATAAGTAGATAACCAACTTTCCCGGAAAGTAGATATTTCCCATTTTCTATGATACAATTTTCCCGTTTTCTATGATAATCTACTTCGGAAAATTAGATATTTCCCAAAAAGTCAATAATCTACTTCCCCAAAAAGTCAATAATCTACTTCCCCAAAAAGTCGATAATCTACTTTCCCGAAAAGTAGATAATCTACTTTTCGGGAAAGTAGATAACCAACTTTCTCGGAAAGTAGATATTTCCCATTTTCTATGATACAATTTTCCCGTTTTCTATGATAAGTAGATAACCAACTTTCCCGGAAAGTAGATATTTCCCATTTTCTATGATACAATTTTACCGTTTTCTATGATAATCTACTTCGGAAAATTAGATAATATTTCCCAAAAAGTCAATAATCTACTTCCACAAAAAGTCAATAATCTACTTCCCCAAAAAGTCGATAATCTACTTTCCCGAAAAGTAGATAATCTACTTTTCGGGAAAGTAGATAACCAACTTTCCCGGAAAGTAGATATTTCCCATTTTCTATGATACAATTTTCCCGTTTTCTATGATAAGTAGATAACCAACTTTCACAGAAAGTAGATATTTCCCATTTTATGTGATACAAATTTCCCGTTTTCTATGATAATCTACTTCGGAAAATTAGATAATATTTCCCAAAAAGTCAATAATCTACTTCCCCAAAAAGTCGATAATCTACTTTCCCGAAAAGTAGATAATCTACTTTTCGGGAAAGTAGATAACCAACTTTCCCGGAAAGTAGATATTTCCCATTTTCTATTATACAAATTTCCCGTTTTCTATGATAATCTACTTCGGAAAATTAGATAATATTTCCCAAAAAGTCAATAATCTACTTCCCCAAAAAGTCGATAATCTACTTTTCCGAAAAGTAGATAATCTACTTTTCGGGAAAGTAGATAACCGACTTTCCCGGAAAGTAGATATTTCCCATTTTCTATGATACAAATTTCCCGTTTTCTATGATAATCTACTTCGGAAAATTAGATAATATTTCCCAAAAAGTCAATAATCTACTTCCCCAAAAAATCGATAATCTACTTTCCCGAAAAGTAGATAATCTACTTTTCGGGAAAGTAGATAACCAACTTTCCCGGAAAGTAGATATTTCCCATTTTCTATGATACAATTTTCCCGTTTTCTATGATAATCTACTTCGGAAAATTAGATAATATTTCCCAAAAAGTCAATAATCTACTTCCACAAAGTCAATAATCTGCGCCCCCAAAGTCGATAATCTACTTTTCGAAAAGAGTAGATAATCTACTTTTCGGGAAAGTAGATAACCAACTTTCACAGAAAGTAGATATTTCCCATTTTCTATGATACAAATTTCCCGTTTTCTATGATAATCTACTTCGGAAAATTAGATAATATTTCCCAAAAAGTCAATAATCTACTTCCCCAAAAAGTCAATAATCTACTTCCCCAAAAAGTCGATAATCTACTTTCCCGAAAAGTAGATAATCTACTTTTCGGGAAAGTAGATAACCAACTTTCCCGGAAAGTAGATATTTCCCATTTTCTATGATACAATTTTCCCGTTTTCTATGATAATCTACTTCGGAAAATTAGATAATATTTCCCAAAAAGTCAATAATCTACTTCCCCAAAAAGTCAATAATCTACTTCCCCAAAAAGTCGATAATCTACTTTCCCGAAAAGTAGATAATCTACTTTTCGGGAAAGTAGATAACCAACTTTCCCGGAAAGTAGATATTTCCCATTTTCTATGATACAATTTTCCCGTTTTCTATGATAAGTAGATAACCAACTCCTCGAAAGTAGATATTTCCCATTTTCTGTATTACAAATTTCCCGTTTTCTATGATAATCTACTTCGGAAAATGAGGTAATATTTCCCAAAGAGTCGATCATCTACTTCCCCGAAGTCGATTTCCAAAAATAATCATTCTCACAATGTCAGCACAGCTCTTCTAACTCAAATATCCACTCCTGACCCACCCATTCATTGTTCATTGGCCAAAACAAAAAAATCTTGTCCAATAAAAATACTCCTATCGCTAGAGCCAATAAGAACCTCCCACTTCACCGTCCCCCCCCCACCCCCCCGGCACATGCGCTGTAGACGCTTAAGAAGCGAACACGGATGTCTGGAGCGATGCTTGAGCGGGTGTCAGACCTCCTCCACTAGATGTAAACAAGACATGGCGACACTTGTGAATGAGCGAAAGTACTAAAGTAAATTTTTCATATTTACAAGTTCACTTTCAGCTCACCTCAATAGAACAAATAAACAGGTTAGGGTAATTATTAATTTTATTCGAGAACCCTAAATAATTCCCATACACTAAACACTACTGTAGATCAGTTAGGAGCCTAATAATTTGCATAAATGTAGCCTAATTTTACAGAAAGATGTGATGTGATCCACACAACTGGTTACTTTTTAAATGAAGTGGTGAAAGTGTCCATCACCATGTCACAAGCACAAATATTGCTGATTGTGTCACTGATGATTGCTTTTAATTCACCAAGGATGCATGGATTTGAAGCATACACTATACTGAACTGTATCCTTCAAATATCCCCACAAAAAGTAAACTGGCAGCGTAAGAACTGGGGATTGAGGTGGCCATAATGACTTGGACACTATAAGGTCACCAAAGAGTAGCCTAAGCTCATTCATGCTGTATTGCAGTGTGTGATTCATGGCACCATCTTGCTGAAACAATCCTTGGTTGATTTCGTCTTCTGTAAGCTACCCAAGTAACTCATGGATGGCTAATGTTGATATAACATTCTGTTTTTACTGTTTCTGAGAAGAAAATTAGGCCAATGATTCTTTGCCGACTGACAACACACCAAACACCAATTTTGTTTAAATGCAATGGCCTTTTGTGCATTGTATATGGCATTCACTAAGTCATAAACAAGTGTTCAGTAAATTTACATAGTATTTAGAAAGATGAAACCATGCTTTGTCTGTAAAAAGCAAAACATCCTAAACATTGTCTGAAGCCACTCACAGTGGGCTAAATGTTTCTCTTTATCTGGCTCCATTAACTGATGCACTGCATGAATTTTGCAGGGATAAAGTTTGAGTGCCTTGACAACCTTCCTCGCACTGGAATATGAAAAGTGAGCTTGTTGTGCTTAATGTCTAACAAAAAAAATTTCAGACTTGCTTCCATTCTTTCCGGCACTTCATCCACTTTCTCTGGTGTAACAACACTTGGCTGACACATATGTGTCTTGTTACTTTCACACAGCCTGTTCCTCTGAAGAGATTCACCAGTTTCCATATCATTGATTTTGAAGGTTGCGTACAACCACCAAAGCGACTTTTAAAATTTGACATTCATTAAAGGATGCATTCTTGATGTAATGTCAATGAGAAACACACATTCTTCCACAGTGAGTGCCAGGCGTGAATGAGTGAAAACCGCTAAATGCCACAGAGGGGTGGCATGATACCTAATAACTCTCAGATCATGTTATGTCTTTCTGTAACATTAGGCTACATTTACACAAAACAATAAGTTTCTAACTGATATAGTTTTTAGTGTATGGGAATTATTTAGGGTTCTCAAACAGAAATATAACTCTGGACTGTACACTAAAACTATATGTAAGGAAATGATAATCCATTTCCTGGAATAAGGGATTACAGTGTATTAATGGAGTGCAAATTCCTGATCTTTAACCTCACTGACTGGTAGCCAACTGAAGGTCTTGCACAAGTTGGATTTATGGGGTGAGCAGACTTTTATACCACAAGCTAACAGTATACACATTATCCACAAGTATTGGGTAACCTGCAATAAGGTAAATAAGCCAGTGGATATTGTCTATCTCACCTAGTCTAGTCACTTGTGCAATAAATATATCAACAGCACAAGCAAATAATGAGCAGTTTTCTCAATTTATTCCCAATTATGCATTTCTCCTTCATCTCTTAAATCTATAAAAATAAGGTGAACTTACTGAAGCAGTCCTTGCAGCTACAGCAATGGCATACTCAGCATGACGTTCAAGGTTCTGAAGTTCAGCCGAATGTGTTATTGGTACACTTGTTTGGTCCCACAAATCCAAGTCAGGTCCAGGAGACATTGTATAAAAAACCTGTCCAAAAAAAATTAACATAAGTAAAAACAAAAAAAAACAAAAAAGTGTTTCATATATAAGTGACCATCAATCCATAATGTATAGTGACATATTAAATATTCTAACTACTACTCAATAAAGGTTACATAAAACCATTTACTGCACAAAACCAATCCCAAGTGTGACCTTACCTAAAGGATGTTCCTGCCACATTCCCTCATAAGTAGATTTATAGTCATAACGGGAAGCTGCTATATAGAAATTATTTGATATGGATTCTTATCAACAGTGATTTATGATCAATATCCAAGCTTTCCTATACAAGTATTACAAAATGCCATTTCATATACAGTATACAGCACTACAGACAATTTCCTTATACAGGTACTGTATACATTTTTTCAAATTCAATTTCATCTCAGTAACACACCAAAATACAGTGGTCCCTCAATTAATGAACACAATTCGTTCCACAGAGTCGTTCGTTAACCGAAAATTTCGTTAACTGAATCCATTATTTTAATGGGATATTGGGTAATTGGTTCCAGCTCACAGAAAAATACATACAAAGTAAAGCCAAAAATACATGAAGTCAGAAACACTCCTAAAATTCCCCTAAATCGCCCTTAAATTACTATATATACGGAATTATACAGGTACACTAGAACTCTTAAATCACTACTGTTCTGTAATGCGATACAGGTGATTAATTTTTATCTCTTGAGCAAAATACATGACGTTTATATTAAAATTATTCGTTGTCTTGCAAGGATTCCAACAATGCAAATTATATTCTCCTAACTTTAGTCTGTGATATTATACAAGATAAAAACTGTAAGCCTAAAGCCCTGGCTGGGCAGAAGGGGGAGAGGGAGGGAGGGAGGGGGGGAGGAGCAGGAGGTGAGGTGATATGTTTGACAGTTGGCACCCAAGGTTAGGGAATGTGTGTTTATTTATCAGTCCTTAAAAGTGACTAAGCTTTTCTATTATAAATGCCACTGAAATGACCTGGGAGAATATAATTTACATTTGCTGGGATTCCTGTAAGATAGTGATTAATTTGAATATAAACAAGCTATAATTTGCACTAGACATAAAAATTTTAGTACTGTAATCATTTAATACATGTGCAGTACAGGTTTGCACTTAGGTCATTTATTTCTTTTACGTTTCTTTTAGTATGGTGTGTGCATGTAAATGAATAAAAATAAATGAAGAAATTTAAGTAAATCTACCCAAAAATACAGTTGAAAAACTGTACATTACTAAAATGTACTAACATTTTTATCTCCAGTGCAAAATATATGCCGTTTATATTCAAATTATTCAATGTCTTGCAAGGATTCCAGCACTGCAAATTATATTCTTCTAACTTTAGTCTGTGATATTATATAGGATGAAAACTTAAGCCTACTGTATAACCACCAAACCTTTGCTGGGAGGGGGGAGGGGGGGGGTGAGGGAGGGAGGAAGGGGAGGTGACAGTGACATGTTTGAAGTTGGCACCGAAGGTCTAGTGAAGTGTTTATTTGTTTATTTATGTCCTTTAGCTTGAGTTTTTGTTTTTTGCTTATAAAATGTCATAGAAGTGACCGGGGAGAATATAATTTACATTGCTGGAATTCTTATAAGATAGTGATTAATTTGAATGTAAACATGCAATAGTTTGCACTCAACAAAAATTTTAGTAATCATTTTGTACATTATTTTGATTACATGTACAGTACAGCTTTGTCCTTAGGACAGTGTGTGCATGTAAGTGAGTTTCAATAAATGAACAAAGTTACATAATCAAGCCAAAAATATTAGTTGAAAAACTTTATATAGACAGAGCTTTGATGGCTAAATTTTAGAATGACCAATAATTTTTACATAAGAAATGCAAAAATATTCAAGAACACAACCTTCTTGATATTTATTCCACTGGAAACGAATGTAAACATAGACAGGCAAGAGGCAACCTAGTTGAGGTGTATAAGCATCTCAAGGGGCACTACTCAGTTGAGTGTCTTTACTTGGAGCTGGCGGACGCTCGCCCCACAAGGGGTCACAGCTCAAGATTGAAGAATCCGCAGGTCCAGAAAACTGTGAGGGCAAACTTTTTCGGAGTGAGAGATGTGAACTCTTGGAACAATCTGCCAGAAAGTGTTGTGACAGCACCGAGTGTGAGCCCTTTCAAGACTGGAGCAGGTTCAGGTACATTCAGGAGCCGGTGCATGCCCAGTACTTGCCAACAGTGCATAACAGAGACGTGACCGATCACCCAAGCGGCTAACGAGCCGATCAGTGGTGAAGAGAATAAAAGTAAAAAAGTAAAAAGGATATACCGGTACTACACTACTACTGTACTATACATCATGATAAGGTCTATAGTCTAGTAAGATCATGTACACACCTGATATCCTATGACCTTGCCACGAGAGGGCACTGGCTCCCACCAGATCTCAATGGAGGATTCTGATGTAGCAAGGCCCTTCAAGTTCATAGGAGCACGGACCAAGTCTGGCTCAGTATGCAGGTGTAAATTCTCACTATAAGGCCCATGGCCTTTTGAGGTCCAAGCCCGTACCTGTAAAATCCAGAAGGAACATAAATTATCACTATTAGTAACAAATAGAAACAATGGTAACAGTTATCAAATGGAATTATACAATATTTTTAGCTAATTTTTCACCATATTTTTAGGAAAAGGACACATAGATGGATATACAGTGATAGACAACATTATCATAAATGGTGAAATGGTAAAAAAAAAATTATATATAATGTACTAGGAGACTGAGCTACAGATGTGAAGTGGGAAAAAGCCATGGTCTTCAAGTATGCACAGAGTAACTTAGGATTACAGGATAAATTATTATGAGGAGATTACAACTCCGCTTTTGTGAAAATGGGTCAGGTACACTGTGGGAGGGGCATACTGTGGGGAGGCACACTGGGGAGGGCACACTGTGGGGAGGGCACACTGGGGAGGGCACACTGTGGGAGGGCACACTGGGGTGGGGCACACACTGTGGGGAGGGCACACTGGGTGGGGCACACTGTGGGAGGGCACACTGGGGTGGGGCACACTGTGGAGAGGGCACACTGTGGGGGGGGGCACACTGTGGGGAGGGGGTTGAGGTACACTGTGGGGATGGGACACTGTGGTGGGGTACACTGTGGGGAGGGGACACTGTGCACTGTGGGACACCACTGTGGGCACTTTGGTGAGGCACACTATGGGTAGGATACACTGTGGGTGAGGTACACTATGGGTAGGTTACACTGTGGGTGGGGTACATTGTTGGGAGGAGACACTGTGGGTGGGGCACACTGTGGGAGGAACACTTTGGCTGAGGTACACTGTGGGGAGGGAACACTGAGTGGGGTACATTGTGGGTGGGAAACACTGTGGGTGGGGGTACACTGTTAGTGGGCCACTGTGGGTGGGGTACACTGTGGGTGGGGTACACTGTGGGTGGGATACACTGTTAGTGGGGTATACTGTGGGTGGTGAACAGTGGGGAGGGGACACTTGGGATGGGGCACATTGTAGGTGGGATACACTGTGGGTGAAGCACACTGTGGGTGGGATACACTGTGGGTGAAGCACACTGTGGGTGGGATACACTGTGGGTGAGCCACACTGTGGGTGGGATACACTGTGGGTGAAGCACACTGTGGGTGGGGTACATTGTGAGGTGGGGACACTATGTAAAGAGGATCAATATGTGCAGCAAAGTTTATGTTATACTATAAAGAGTCAGGAACCTGTTTTCTTTTTTTTTTCTTTTTTTAACAGAAGGATTAAAGTTTTATTACAAATAAGAAAATCTCTTAAATTCAAAATAGTAAAATATTCTATATGATCCCTTCTGTGCATGTAAACCAAACAGACATAATGGCCAAGCACTCTAAATCTCATCACCTTTTATAGCAAAATATCCCTAATAAGAGGACTACCAGGAGCCTAATTCTGGCATATAAGGGTTTCTATTTCTTTTCTTGGTAAACAAAAATTCTCTAACATTTTCAATTAAATAAATCCCTTGAGACCCAAACACTCAAGATGATGAAAGTGTCTAATAACCAGTTACCATTAAAATAAAGGATGTTTGTAAGTGCTAATCACAAATACATTTATCATCTAGAAAAAAATATATAATTCCTTACCTTAAATGTATAGTCCATATTTTCCTCCAAACCATTAAAGACAATGCGATTACCATCAGTAACATTTTTATTGTGCTTGAAGTCATTATTGAGGATGACATTCTTGCTAAACTGTAACTCATACTGGATGATGACTCCGTTTCTTTTACTTGGCACAGGTAGATCCCAAGTGAACACAATTGTCCCTGGAGTCTGATATCTGTCAAGGGTGGAAAACAATAAATACTATGAACATCTGCTTATTTTTATGTGTGATAGACTGAGAAAGGTACACATTGGGGTACTATAACCAGGCTATGTAATGTACTGTATACTCAAACTATGCTTCTCCAGTGCTGTACACCAGGGAATTGACGAGTCAACCTAGGATCTCCAACAACCATATGGGGCCAGGCATCATGTCTCAGACTCTTAAAATAGTATAGGTCTGGATACAGGAAAATATTCCTGTATTTCTGGTATTTTATATATCATTATCTATTGTTTTTTATACATTTAGCACATTCTCCAAAAGATTCGGACAATCAGCTTTTTCGGACAGGTGGTCCCCCCTTTTAGTCCGGATCTTCAAGGGTTTTTTATGAAAATTTACACATATATGGGGTATTTCTGTATATTAAAGATTAGACAATTTTTAGAAAGCCAATGAGGTGCCAGAGAAGATTGTCTTTGCTGTTGTATCGGGTAATTCTAGCAAATCCAGGAAATTAAATGTGGATCATCTGACTTTTTCTTTTCACATTTCAAATAGACTATCAAAGTAGTTTTGCTACTAAGAGTGGTGGACTCGTCTATTAGAATGGCTATTTTCCTTTTATTTCACGGATGCATTTGCTGACTCTTGGTCTCATTTCTTGTGCAACACGGTCAATTATATTTGTGGCACTAAATCGTGAACACAATCCTTGTGGAATGTCTGTGCCATTTAATTCTTGCAATTGCAACAAATCAAAATGGTCAGTATATGGTTTATCATTTTTGGCTATATAATATGCAGTTCTAAGTATTTTGCAGGTAGCCTCTACTTCAGATTTATTTTAACAGTCCACGACAGTTTCAACTTGTTGTTCCCTTGCACTCTGAAAAATTTTAACGGCACTGATGTGTGACTGCTACTTTGAATGAAGCAAACATTTTTTTCTCAAGGATGATAGTTGGACTGATCTTGTGCTGCCGTTGAAAGAAACTGAAACTGAACTCCATTCTTTGGAAACACTAGCACCTTGTGATTTAAATTGGCCTAGATTTGTCACACTAGAGCATGCTGCACATCCAATTTTTCCGGAATCACTCACAAGCCACGGGTAAGCCTTTTTCTTATCTTCCCACATCTCAGCAGTCCAAATTTCAGGCCATGCAGACTTAATTATATGTTGTCCTGGCAGTGTCACTTCACTGGAATATGACACACCACTAGATGTAGTAGCTTGAGGAATTACTTTTCCACACTCAATATCACTTGTGGAATCACTTGCTCAAGTTGCCCTTTCTTCTGTGTGTTCTATTACTTTTCTTTTCTTTTTTTTTGTGAAAAATTATTGTATGGATGCTTGTTTACATTTTTCACTCATTTTTGAGGGTACAACATTTGATTAAATAATGATTTTTGGAAATTTGGGGTAAACCATCAAAGCCTACATCACTCGCATTGAGTTTCAGTTCTCAGAACACCACTATGTAATTTCACCAGTTCTGCCAACACATACAACAGTACAATAATAGTCTTCTAGACTTCCACCGGTGTCAAGACAAGTGCGTGCATTTTCTAGGAGACTTGGTGAGCAACTAAACAGGCATTCCTACTCAGCACTGCAGGTCTGCAGCAGCGTCAGCACATTGCGCTGAACAATGCTGAGTATGCCAGATTTTTCGGAATGAACATTATTTTAAATATTTACAAATATTTCTGCTGCTTATTAAGAGAATATATTATACCAACGAATTAGAATAAATTAACTTAAAATTATATAAAACAGACAAACTAAAATAAAACTCAACCTATTTTTTTTTTTTTTTTACCAGATTTAAGGTATTTGGCAACCGAGAACACTAATGTCCAAGTGAGGGGAGCGGCCGCCGGCCTGTAAGAAATGGGGGGAGCTGCTATTATTTTTGTGAGTTTTTATAATTAAGTAATGCGACGATGCTGCAAAATCACAATGCCTCAAAGTTTATAGGCTAGCATTACCTCAGTTGAAGCAAAAAGAATTGAAACAGTTAATGATTCTTTCTCATATTTCTTTTCGGGGTGGAAACAAAAAATTTCATTACATTAGAGAATTGTACGTTTGGATTTATTTGAAACAGTGAGGGAACGCCGTTCCCCCTCCCAAACTAAGTAAGGGAACGCCGTTGTCATGCGTTCCAACAGCACTACACCACTGACTACAACCCTTTATAATAATAAGAACATCTGTGGAAAAAATGACCGAAATTGAACAACTCCTTCTGGTGGTAATGCTGTTCTCAGTAATTAAAAAAAAAAAAAATTAGCCTCTTGGATACCTGAATTTCGATCGCAAATCTTGAATAAAGGGTCACTAATAATTTTTGGGGAATAAGTGAATTCGCAAATACGGAGTTTGCGAATATGAAGGGATAAGTGTGTACAGGTACAGTGGTCCCTCGGTTAATGAGCACAATCCGTTCCAGCAGGTTGCTCGTTAACCGAAAAACTCGTTAACCGAAACCATTGTTTCAATGGGTTTTTGGGTAATTGGTTCCAGCTCACCGAAAATTGCCTAAATTCAACAAAAAAGGTAGAAAAGTACACTTACTTTGAGGTGTGTATGTAGAAGGCTCCTGGATGATGATGGGAATTAGAATGGGGGTGGAGGAGAAGGGAGAAGAGAAGTGCATTGGGGTGGAAGAGATGTCACCCCATGGCACCATTTCACCCATAAAATTTTAGTTCTCTTGGTGTAATTCAAGATTATTTTCTTTAAATCAACACTGCACTGCATTATATATTGTCAATATGTAAAATAAATTTCAAAATGACCAATAATTTGCTTGGAAACACAGAAAAAAAGCATTTAGTTGAAGAGAGTCTCAAGCAAGATGTTCCCTCCACTGAAAAGAGAGAGAGACTAATGCCTGTCTGGTGTGTTAACAGGCTGGATGGCACGCCAGAAACTAGTTTCTTTACCTTCATTTATGTTCAATAATTGTTAAAATGACTAAAAAAGTTAATATTAAACTTTTAAAATTATTGAATAGTATAAACTTCTTGATATTTACTAAAATAGTAAGGAATTTAAGCCCTAAAACCGATTACTGTATTGGCGGACTAATACTACAGCTGGTGGACCGCCAAATGCAAGCGAAAACATGTTGAAGTCGGCTCGTAAAAAACTCGTTAATCGAGGGATTGCTCGTTAACCAAAGTTAAGAATCTTATGGAAGGTAAATCGTTAACCGAAATCTCGTTAACCGAGGCGCTCGTTAACCGAGGGATCACTGTACTATAATTTTCATAATATTGTACAGGTATTTGGTAAAATTTCGGATTATGAGACATTTAGGAATATAGTCGGCCCTTAACTTACGCGGGTTTAACATACACGGATTTGCAAATACTCGGATTGCCGCCGAAGGAATATACATTCAAATCGCGCGCGACACCACACACTGCCCGCCACACCACACACACACACATCGCCCGCCACGCCACCCTGCGTTCCCACGCTCCCTCAGTCAGTCAGTCTCGCTGTAACCACGCTTGTGTTGATATCAGCATTGTACCGAGTAGTTGCAAAAATATTACATTTCCGTGAATGTATTATATCAAGCACATTACGTTTCAGCAAAACTACTATTTATTTCTGAGAATATGGAAATGTAATATTTTTGCTGAAATGACATACGTATTACAGTGGAAAGTGGGATAAAATCGTGACGAAAACAATGACTTTCGCTTTCTTTTGTTCAAAAGATGTTACCGTAATCGCTTTACGAATGGTTTTCAGTTAAAAAACTGTTGTATTACCAGAAATATGGTATCGTAGTATTTATTCAAGTGAATTGGGATAGAATATTATTATAATACAACAGTTTTTTAACTGAAAACGCGATTACTGATTGTCGTGAATCCCAGTCAATTTCAGCAAAAATATTACATTTCCATATTTATTTCTGAGAATATATACATTCAGTCACAGTTAAGGTAAAATATACTTGTGATGTAATATTTTAATGAAAATACCCGGTATTTAGAAATACGGTATCGTAGTGTTCTTTTGTTTCAAATTTAATTAACAAAGATTAATGTTTCAAATGTAATGAACAAAAATTTATGTATCTATAAATAAACTTTAAAAAAATGAATACTTTATGTTTTACATCGTCCTGTGCTACCATACCATGCATTTGGCTACTTCGGGCTTGCTATGATGACGCAAGAGATCTGCTCTGGCAACTGTACCGACACTCACAGATGGTGGTGCGTCGTTTCCATTGTTTGCTGGTAGTTGCTGGTAAATATTTTTCAACCTAACGAAACTATTAACCGTTTAGAGGTCGACCCCCAATTTTTTGCCAAAAAATTTGGTCTTAAAAACTCGAACTACACACAGGTATATACGGTAAATAAGGACATAGGGGGCCAGGGGTGTTTTTAGGGGGGAGGGGGGCAGCAAAAATACGCGGATTCTTAACATTCACGGGTATCTCTGTTACCTAACCCCCGCGTATGTTAAGGGCCGACTGTATATATGACACAGACGTCGCCATCGAATGCGACCGCCCACTTATAAGTGTTACACGGTCGGTCACTGTCAGTTCATAATGATTAATGATCGGTCGTGGAGTGTACTGTACATGTACAATCTATCAGGCAAGCTTTTTTCCACTTGTTTGACCCATTATATCTGATAACTATGGACCAGGTACCTAAACCTGATACAGAGGTGCTGTACTTATAAACTTAAAATTTTTTATTGTGGCAGATTATGGAAAAGTACCGCTGTTTTTTCCCCTTTGGGAGAAGGTGTCCCTTATAATTCATAAAATCTCATAATTTGTAAGGGCTAAAGCCCCTATTATTTTTTTCATGGGGGTTTTACTGCAGACAAGTGATGGTACAGGAAGGTCTAGTACAGTAATAGGAAACATGCCGACCTGTAGGTAATATTTGTTGGAGGGCCAGATGGAGCAGCTTCTGGGGTAATGTAATACTTGACTGCTTCTTGTCCATAATTGATGTGATTACGACCAGCCACTCGAAATTCATACTCAATACCTCGTTGTAAGTCATTTAGAGTTTTGTGGAGCATTGAACGACCTTCCAGAGTTATGGTCTCTAGGAGTTCACCTGTGGACAGAAAATTTAATTTAAAAAAAATCTGGTCTACAATATACAACTGGGTGGGCTCACGGCACTCACCATGTTCCCCAACCCACAACTTCTTGGACCCCCCTTGATATTCCTGGATCTGCCCCTGATAAAACATTGTTTGCTATGGTATCTCCATATGCTAAACAATGGTGCAAAAGCCCAATTTCCATGGATATTTTAAACAAATAATAACATTAACCAAAAAACACTTTCTAATGGTACATGAAAATAATATTACATTACATACAGAAAAACACAGAACATTTCTTTAAACACTGTAAAACAGATCTACATTATCCAGCAATACAACAACACTCTGGCGGCGAGTAGCAACAAAATTAGTACATGTTTGTAACCAAAGACAAAGAATGAGAAGTCAATTAACTTTTCAACAAAAAATTAATAAGTTCAAACATTACACAAAACACAGTTGCAGTGGAAGGTGCTAGACATAATCAATTCGTTCACAACACACACAGTGCAGAGAGGTAGCTACTCTGTAATTTCACTGACATGAAGACTGCACTCTAATTAGGCATCTCTCAAGGATACTACTGTACAAACTTTGATTATTTGCAAAAATTTACACAGCATAAGTAATTCAAAGGTTAAAAGTAAGAAAAGAGAACTTCTATTGCATCTACATAATCCACAGAAACTATTTTGTGTTACATTTTGAAGAACTTACCTCTGGGTCCATATCTAAGACGGTAGCCGCTAATTTCTCCGTAGGTTTCTGTTGGAGCCGTCCATTCCACATAAACAGAGAGCTTCCCTGTGTATCTATCAACAGTGCCACTGAAATTTAAGAATACAAGTATTATCAGAATGTTATATAGTATTTATATATTCATTAAAAGTGAATTATGAAAACAATGAAGACATAACATTAAAGTGCAAGGTGAAGCAGCTAGTGTGGATGAAGTTGCAGCAAGTGAATTTCCTGCTGCTTTAGCTAAAACAATTGAAGAAGGAGGTTAATGTGCTGAGCAAGTTTTAAATATTGATGAGACTGGTTTATTTTGGAAAAGGATGCCCAAACGTACGTACCTTTCAAAAAATGAACAAACAGCACCAGGGCATAAAGCTGCCAAGGATAGGTTGACCTTACTGCTGGAGGGCAATGCTGCTGGGGACTACAAACTAAAACCTTTGCTTGTCTACCAGTCAGAAAATCCTAGAGCATTGAAGGGTGTTTTTAAAGCAGCACTTCCAGTTATCTGGAAATCTAATAAGAGGGCTTGGGTGACATTGTCCCTTTTTGAAGACTGGACTTTAATCATTTTGTGCCTGAAGTGGAGCAATATTGTATTTCAGAGTCAATGCCTTTTACATTCTATTGGTTCTTGACAATGCACCCGGCCATCCAGCATTTTTAGATGATGTTCATCCAAACATTAAGGTTGTGTACCTACCTCCAAACACAACATCTGTTTTACAACCGATGGACCAAAAAAAGCACATTACCTGAGAAGGACATTTGCTGAAGCTATCAAGGCAACAGAACAAAAAGAGGGTATGTAGGACTTTAAGGAATTTTGTAAGTCATTCAACATTTTTGATGCTGTGAAAAAACTGCAGATTCATGGTCTTATTAAAGAAGGATTGTTTAAATTTGAACAGCAAGATCCCAAACCAGCCCCAGGTTTCAGTGTAAGTGTTAAACTTAAGTTTTTACTTTTCTTTACTGTATTTTGCCATTCAATTTCTTCTTTTCTCTTAAATTAAGTGATTAGAGATGTATAAAAGGACTTGGGCTATGATATAGTGCACAAAGGGTATGTGTTCCGACTTACATACATTTCTTGTGCACTAGTTTTATTGGTGACAACAAAATCAAAACAAACAAGAACATGATCTGGTCACCAGCTTGCCAACTTCCATGTTCAGTAAGTAGGTGTACTTTTTCAAACTGGACTTCTCATGAATAAGATGGATGACTGAATTTTGCAGGTCATACTGTAAATGTCCACAAACTGTACTGTATTCCCATGTAACTATAAAACAGGAGGTATTAACAGTCAATATAAACTTACTTTACAATAAGAGTAGGCTTGTTTGGTACTCCCCCTGGCATCTGTACTCTCTCCACTGCAGATCTGGCTCCATCACCTTTTCGTGTGATGGCTGATATCTGAACTTGGTACTCGGTGTCTGGATGGAGATGTGTGACAATAAAACTCTTTGCATCCCCATTGTGGACAGTGTATGGAGTTATTTTAAGGCCTACATGCTCGCCATCCTGAAAATAAAAATACATACAGTACTGTATAATAAAACCTCTGAGCCTGCGATATGTAATAACCTACTGAAAAAAAAAACAATCAGATATACTGTTATAATAAACACACTATGAAATTAACATATGACCTTTGATATTAAGTACTTTGGTCCCCAAAACCCTCATGCCCTATTTCAATCAAACAATCAGAGTACCGTCCTCATATCTGAGGGTTAGCGACTATAGTCCCCCACTCTAAACATTTTGGGCTGTTTTTACCAATCCTCTAAGGTTTTGTATCTCCCTGGAGAACCAGTTTTTAATTTAATTTATCCATTTCAGTCTCTGCCTTTCCTTGGCCCTCCTACCCTCAACTTAACTTTGCCCATTCATATTTCTGTTATCATCCCTCATCCCTAATTACATGACCAGTATCTCATTTTTCTTTTTCTGTATATTTCAAGTATTTCTTTTGAAGTTTTGCTAATCTTAGTACTTCTTCATTTGTTTTCGTGTCAGTGTAGCTTATTCTTAGCATTCTCCTATAGCACCACACTTCAAAGGCCTCCAACCTCTTTCTGGGGTCTACTGAAAGTGTCCACACTTCTGATCCATACATCACTCCTTGCCATATAATGCCTTTCAGCAGCCTTTTTTCTCAAATTGAAGTTACCGTAATGACCCTTTTCATTAAATGCTGTTTTAGTTTGCCCTATTCTTGTTTTTGTTTTTTCCATACAGCTACCATCACAGCTAATGTTACTTCCCAAATGCAAAAAAAAATCCAATTACTGATCCTTTAAACACACCTCAGAGTCAACATTTTTAATTTTAGACTTCAATATTTCTGAATTTCAAATGTTTTGAACACTTTGGGATTAATAAAAAATATGCCTCTAACTTTGGAAAAAGTCTGTGTTCAAATACACAGTATGAATTTATAGGAGTAGTAGTAGTAGTAGTAGGTGGTTAATAGTGGATATGAAAAAGAGTAGGGCAATTAAACTAAGAAGTGAAGAGAGACGGTGTAAACTGAAATTTAATTTGAATGGAAATATGATGGAGGTGATGTGTTTCAGATAACTAGGAGTGATGTGTCAACAATAGAAAAATATGTAATGAATAAAAAATCAGAGGAAAGAAAGTTATAAATGCACTGAGAACTGTGTGAGAGAGTGAGAGAACCAAGTAAACAGAGCAAAGATGGGAATGCACACTGTACAGAAATGTTAAACTAACATAACAATGTGAAGTACAGACCATGGTTGTAGAATGAAGGAGCAAATTAGGAGTGACAAATGTTGGTCTGAGAGCAACTAGAATGTAGAAAAAAAGGTCAATAAAGGAAAGAGACTTTAAACTAACATCACACCTGGAAGATTCTCACATTCCACTCCTCATGGTAAATGTTTCGCTAGTTGGGAGCCATTCTCTAGGGAGTCAAAGACAGTGTGAATATACACAGAGAGAGAACAGTTAAAAGTTATTAAAAGATGTAGTGAAAGATGCAACCTTACCCGTTCTTCTACCTCTTGAACATGGATCTGGTATCCTCGAATGATTCCATGTCTCTCTCTCTCATTTGGCGGAGTCCATGTCACCACAATGCTCGTGCTGTTGATCACATCCACTTTAACGTGTTCAGGTTGACCAGGAACTACAAGGGTAATGCCGAAGATTAAAATCTAACCAAGTCAACCCAACATACATAAAATAACATAATAAAAAATCTCTTTTCATATCATAGTCATTTTTCATAAAAAAATACTTTAATACTGTATATGAAAGAACATTAAATAGCCTACTGCCTTCCAAAGAAGACTAATTCTAATTAAGTGTTTTAGAGAAATACGTACCATACCCCCAGCAGGTGTATTATATACTTCAAGATGATAACTGGAAGAGAATCTAACTAAAGAGCTAATAATAACCATTACAGCCATAGGACTACACTAACATTCATCTCTTCACATTGTGAAACAATTTTAAATGCCCACAATTCTTTGTTCCCAAACATTTGTCCAGCAGTTTACAGTATTAGATTTATCAAGTGATTTATATCCACTGTCAATACTGATGGAAGACAAAAATTATACATTAGAAGCAGCTTCCAAATGTATCTTTCAACAAAATCATACATTTCTGATTACATCAAACCTCCAAGAAAAGTTGGAAAAAATTTTCAAAAAGAAATAATAGTGAAGATTTTTTATCAACTTCACTGCTAAGTCCATACTTATTTTCATTCAAGTAAATGGAGCAACTGGGCAACTTGTAATCTGCGTGTGGGAAAATTTTTAACATTTTCTATGCAATAAACATAGATTGATAAAAATGATAAAAACATTTACAGTACCAAAAAATCCAAAGCATCAGAGCTTTGTTTAAACTTATTCTTGTTGCTCCTGGGAAGAGAGATATGGCAACACCTATGATCAGACTATTTTCTGAAGTCACTGCTGCTATGAAATATTATTCTTAGCACTTTATTTGACACACCACACCCAGTAAAGACCCTGAGACTTATATACAATAACTTTTCTAGATCTATAAAGACACTTGCATCCCTTGTGCTCCTGGCAAAGGCTCCAAGGATGGTAAAAACTTTGGGATACCTTAGCAAATTGAGGGATACCTTAGAAAATACTCTACTGGGATACCTTAGCAAATACCCTTCACTGGGATTCATTAATGTTAAGGGTGGGAATCCAATAAGTATATTACCTGAATTTCCAAGGGGATTACCTGAAACTGTACTTTAAAAAATCACATCAAATACTTACATAACCTCTAAAGAACAAACAGTACAATTCAAGTTGAACAGGGGATAGAATGCTGATTATTTACTTCTTGACTACAGTAAAGGAGATACTATGTGAGCGGAAAGACAGCCCCTTTCTTGCACGTAATCAAAGGATGAGAAAGGTTGGTGAGGATAAAGAGGAACATCACAGCTTAGTTGGGTAGGAATAAAGGGATGACTGGTAGGCAGACAGTCACACGTTAGACATTCCGTCACACCTCATAGTTGTGTAAACATAGCACCCACTTTCTATGCAACTATGTGAGATGTTTTTGTCATGTATTATCATTCTCAAGATACTGACTTGCAATAAATCTTCTTAATAATTTATAATATTCAGTCTCCTGAATCAAAATTGAATGAAGCACCATCTACAAGATTTTCTTATTTCAGCAATTAATTAGCTATACAGTACAGTATATGTATACAACAGTACTGTATATATACTGTATATATTAATGTTCAGTTTATATAAAATCTGATGAAAAGGCATTTCTTTTGCAATAATGGTCATACTTAATTGTGACAGCAATGTGTGTAAATAGATACCCTGATTATTATATTTGATAATATAATTTAGTATTCAGAGAATAGTTATACAAGACAATACAGAAATGTTAAGCATCATTAACAGAGCAGGAGGAAAAAAATTCCAGAAGCATGGGCTAAGAAAAAGTTATGAAACTAGTATAATAAAATAAAAAGGAATGGCAGGAAAAGTAGGCAAAGATTCAACACTACTTACTTGAAAATTTGGAAGAGACTCAACACCACATACTAGCACCACATCTACATAGCACGACAAACCCTGGTATACTTACGCTGTGGGTGCTTATCTGTCATGGAAGGCAAGAGAGGAAAAAATGGAAACAATGCCATCAATAGCCTGCCGACACCCCCTTCGTAGTTTGTCAACACCATCCAACATATTATTTGGCTACAAAGTGTTAAGAAGAGAGAGGTAGAGCATGCATGAGTGAAGACTGAGCTAATAGCTGATGGAAAAAAGACAAAAAGAAGACCAGAAACACAGAGGGAGAGCAGTAATAAAGAGTGTGGTGCTTGGTGCATGTGACAGTGAGTGTAAAGCTTTTGCAACAAAATCAGTAACAAAGCAACCAAAGGGCTAGGAGAAAGACCACACAAAAAATAATAGTAATGAAAAAAAAAGGAAGACTACAAAGACCCACTACACGGTGCTTAGCGTTTACACGCACAATGGCTCAGGGCTAAACCACCCTACAGCAGCTATTGGAGAAACGCCTCCAAGAGTAAATGTTAAAGGAAAATATCCAAGAGCACGTATTAGCAGCAGTAACTGTTCAAAGTACCCATCCTAAACCAGGTGATACAGTCAACAGGATCTTATTTTTTATAGGTTATCCTCCAACCTTATGTACAAAAGGATATTTATCTTGCAGCAGTTTCACAAGAAAAATATTATTCTACAGCTGCAGAAGGAGCTTAATATCATAAGAAGTAAAAAGTAAATATGTATAGCTCAAGGCCATTCTCATTTCTGCATTAACAGACTACAAGGGATTAGTGCTGTAGGGTGGAAACATGTATGGCAAAGTATTGGCTGACTTTAGGTACTGACCTGCTTAGTAACATGTACTTTATGTTATATACAATCTGGCCAATATGTATGTATCATTTTATATTTATATTTCCTAATATTGTACTGTATGTATGTATAAAGAAGCTTCAGTTTGTTAGTGCTCAGGAAATAAAGTTTTCCTAGAAGTGTTTTTTCTAACACAAAGTGTACATTTACTAAGCATATGACACTAAAAACAAAAGAAATTGCTCTCTGAGAGGCAAAACAGCACAGAGGAACAGAAGGTACGGTATTATGTTTTGGGTTTGTGAGCCAGCGGTGTTTACGGTGAATAGCAAGGAGAAGGGTCAAGGAACTGTTTATCCATATTCAAGAAGGGGCAACTCTGGGGAGCAAAACAGTACTTATACATGACCTGATAAGTGGTTCAGTGGGCTAATCTTGTTATGATCAATCTGTTACAGGTCTGATCTGGGAGAGGAATGTGACTGTACTTGTGATGAAAATTTTCTACAATGTTGTAAAAGGGACCATCTCCAAGATGTAGGGTGGAGCAAGGCTGTCCTCATGTAGGCAGGAACTGTACTTACTAATGTATCCTTGTAAGGGGCAGGGAAACAAGTGTGTTAGTTTGACACAGGATCATGAAAGGCTGTACAGATAGTATTGATGTTGGAGCTGTGATCAACTTCTACTGTGATTTCTGGAGTCTGGTTTAGTATCAAAATTCTGGCATTCTTAGTTCGGTGAAAATCAAATCTATTATACATTTCATCAAAACTGAGCAACACATACAAGCTTAATCTTTGAAATCATATAGTATCATAGACCTATTTACACAATTATTTTACTTGTCATATAGAATTTTCTTATTTTTGAATAAATAAAACTGAGAAAAAACAAGTATCCCCTGTGCATACAGTACACTATGCAGAATAAATGCACTATAAAATCCAGTTACTGTTTGCAGCAGCAGGGTCAATAACATTTATGAAATACACTAGTAAGATGGAGGTAAGAATGCCAGGATCGTGTTCAGGACTCTCTGGGTCATCCGTAAATGTGGTGTGGAATATCAAATCTGTAAGTGTCTCATGCATCGTTTGCGCTTCATGTGCAGATCACTACATGTGCACATAAACATCTCTGTGCAGCTGTCAAGATATTTATGTATATGCCTTTGCTAAGCTCACCTGCATTTATCTACAGGCAGTTCTGGGTCATATCCTCTTTTGCTATCAACTAAGGCCCAGTGCTGTGTGCATACTGTTGTTTCTTGGAAACTTGTATTGAAAAGAATCTGATTGTCATATAGTTTCTGTTACACAACAAATTTCTAGTTGTTTCTTGAGATACTTTTAGGCTAAATCTTGCAGTTTGAGTGTTTGATGACCGGTATACTGTATGTCAGCATTCAACTTCTACTAAATCTAGCATGTCGTTCCAATGAAGCAAGTATTGTCATCAGCACTTCAAAGGAAGGATGATGAACCATTATTTAAAGTTGAGCTGCTTTCACAACTGATTTGGTCTGAATTCTTCATGAACCTGAGTACATTATCTTGTATTAAAATTAACAATGCCTAATAAAAATTTGGCAAGAGGCTCTGGAACTTAATTTCTGGACAAGGACTCAAGTTATGAGCAAGAACTCAGGCCATTATGTGCCAACCCCTAACTAGCTCTTCCCACAAATCTGTCAATGTATATCACCAACTATTTCCATTTGCCCTTCCTTACACAGTTTGCATGTTTGATGTTGTCCTGAGGAGAAATGGGGCACAGAAGACAGTGTACAGTTGAAAAGTCAGGTGGGCCATCAATGCTAACAGTCCACTCTAGACCTATAGGGATATCCTGCTTGTGGCTTCTACTACTCCTCTGGGCTTTACACACAAATCTACAGCAAGCCTTTAAGGTATTTTACAGAGACTAGTTAAGCCTGTTCAAGCACTGATGGCCTCAATTTCAAAATCTATTATTATCTATGTGCATTATGACTGTGCATGGTGCTCATGCAGTGAAGAAGGATAAAGTATCAGGTTGCTTAGATATCTAGAGCATGTATCTGCTGTTCATTTATGTCTAATAATACAAATCTTCCAAGATAATGAGAAGCATTACTTTCAATCTAAAGAGGGAAATTCAGTTAGTATTTAAGACTAATCATCAGTCCTGATTATTATGAGACTTTGTAAAGCAGAGAAGTAATACTGGAGAATTGGTCAGCAAATCTTATACAATACAGTGTCTATGAACATTCCAGCTTGTATCACTGACTTTTAAAGAGGACTTCAATGTGAATTTTTTCTCCAAGTCAATCATGGTACAGTCTAATACCACACACATACAAACAGACCCCATACGTACCATCTTCATCTGTGCGCACCAACTGGGGATCAGACTTGACTCCATCCCCTATAATAGTTCCAGCAAGCATCCACACTCGATACTCAGTCCACTTTTTCAAGTTAGTTATTAGATAATCACGCTGACTGGGATCAGAAATTGAAATAACTGAAGCATCTGAGTCTGGTCTTGTGTTGTTGACAAACATGAGCTTGTAGTAGGTGATATCTCCATGCTGTTTATCCAGGGGAGGAGGTTCCCATTCCACCCTAATGCTCTCAGAGTCCTCAGAAATGGCACGGATGTCACTCGGTGGGGCACCTGGGGCTGCAAAATTGTTACAGAATTACAATTAACATATCTCAACTAAAATTTAATGTCACGACTACACATAAAGTAAGTCCTCGCTTAACGCTGTCCCAGACAACGTCGTTTCATTTTAATGTTGCCACTCTTTAGATACCCATGATTCCGACAACGTTGTTTTACAACCCGACAGATTCGTTATAACGTTGTCGCCCAACACAGACTACTTTGTATGGAGCACCACCCTCTCTCATCTTGACGCGCTATGCTCTCTTGCAGAGTGTCACAGTGTCCTCAAGCGTTTTCTCCCGTCTTTGCTAAGCTTCCACAGCGTACATGCTTGCTTAAGTGGTTTTGCTATAAATACTGTACTGTTACCATTCGAAATGGCTCCCATGCAGCCATCAAGTGTTAGTGATGTTAGTGTTGTGTGAAGAAGCAATGCAAGACCATTAAGGTGCGGCCACACTTGTCGGAAACATGCGTTGGCAACACGGCGGCGACAAGGTAGGCAACGAGTTGTTAACTTGTAACCAGCACAAAGTTTCGAACATGTTCGTACCACTGTGTCGGCTATTTGTTGGTGGCTGTGGTGTGGACGAGGCGATGTTGCGGAGCAGGTATCTGGGTAGGAACAGACACACACAACAGCTGCATCAGAGCGGACTTACCCATCGCTCTGTCTATAATTTTTGGGATGGAGTGGACCCGGGAGCAAACTATTTTGTTAATAGAACTATACCACTCGCATAGAGTACTATGGGACCCAACATATGTGAATTACAAGAATAAGATCAAGAGAGCAGACGCATGGAGAAACATCGCCGATGCACTGCACGCGGAAAAAGGCGAGGTGGAGAAGAAGATGAAGAACCTAATTGCACAATTCAGGAGAGAAATGAAGAAGACCAAGGAGCGGAAATCTAGAGATGGTGCGCAAGATGCCTACAGGAGCCAATGGTTTGCATACCAAAGCATGTGCTTCCTGGTTGACAAACACATGCCACATCCTACGTACAACGCTGGAATAGAGGTAAGGAATGATACATATTAATGTGTTTATGTTTATTGCGTGTAATACCTCAGGGACAATCTCACTGATTGCCTGCTTGGATATCGTGAACAGGTACCCAAGGCTGCGGTACGAATCACCTGTCCCCAGAAACTGCAATGTCACAGCAAGACGGTCTGTTGCCGATATTGCCTTTCTCTTGTCCGTGTCCTGTTTAGCGATGTGCGGGCCAACCATATTCAACAGTTGTTCAAAGTCCGACTTGGACATTCGGAAAAAGTTATGAAACATTCCACTGTCCCGTACTTGTGATGGCAAAAGCCCGTCATCATCACATTCAATATCACATAAGAGACCATGCTCTCCCGTATTGTTTTTCTGAAGTGATGGACGCACCCAGAATCGGCGACGTCGTCTCCTCTGACGGCTACATATTACTAAAAATGCAGCAGCTGCCAGCAAGGCATCCTCACTCTCCGACATGACGTTCGTGTCTGCAGACACGTGTGGACGGCCTTTTGGCTTCACCTCTGTTACCAACATATTACCGACATATAACCGGCAGTGTTTCCGATATGTCGGAGGACACGTGTGGCCGCACCTTTAGCCTTGCTATGAAAATGGAGGTTTTAAATCGTTTTGAGAAAGGTGAACGTGCTGTGGACATTGGTGTAGGGGTTAGGCCTAACCCCCACAACAGTGCGTACTACCTTCCTCCTCTCCACTACCCACCACACACTCACGCTCCACCTCTGCCTATCAGTGAGTACGTACAATGCAAAATTAATGTATTATCTTATTAATTAAACATTAATTTAGTTTATTTATCTTTTTGGATGTATATATATTTTCTATAAAAATTCCATTGAATTTATGTACAGTATATGTAATGTATTTTATGGGGCAAAGGGAAGCTGGAAAACATAAATAACGTATTTATTTATTTCTTATGGGGAAAATTTATTCCGTTAACGTTGTGTTTTACAAAAACGTAACCACGACGTTAAGCGATGGCTTCCTGTAATTGTACAGTGCTTATATGGATAGGACCTAAAACTTGAGAAATGCTGAAATTATAGAGTATTTTAAAGACAATGAAAAGATACCATAGTTTTTACCTACATTAAATTTTCCTGAATAACCCTTACCACAAGAGAATGCATACAGCACAGTTACAGAAGCACAGATAGCCATAGGCACAGATATACATACATAAACTTAAATAATTACAGAATAGTTGCATCCCAGGTCCCACCACCAGGTCACCTACCAATGAAATCCCTTGTAATTAACAACCTTGCACTCTGCCAACTCAAATTTTGCCTGAATGTAATTGACTCACAAAACTATAAATGAATTCAGCCCCTTTTCCACTTAGAACATAAATTTTATCAAGATAAAAATATAAACTCTGAACACCAGATTAAAGTGTGAAAAGCCTTTCCACTGTTGGGAGAAGTTCCATTACCAGCAATGTTTTTTTCAGCACCCCCATAATACTGTACAGTATAGCTAGTGAAAAGCAGGGTTGCATTACTGGACTACCAGAAATACTGTACTGTACTGTACTGTACTGTACCTCCAAAAGAGCAAGATAATTAGTTGAAATGAGAGTTTGAATTTGCTTAGTGTAACACTACATAAGTAATAAAAGTACCAAGTACAGTAGATTCAACAAATATATAATACTGTAATAAATAATTTATTATATTATGCAACAGCACAAAGTTACAATGTCTTGTGCTACGATGGCAGTGAATACCAAACAAAATGCTTTCTGAATTGGAATGGTCCTCAAAGGGGTGAAATGCATAGGTGCATGTCACCATACAATATTTTAAATATCCAATACAGTTTTCAGTGGCCAAGTGATCAAAGTTTTTACTGTTAATTATTATTGGTTATGGTACTGGCATTCTGTTGCTGTCTAAGTACCCCTGTACTGGTATACTGTGTAGAACCAATTTTACAAAGGAAATGCTATTTACATTTACTTAATTCCAGAAAGGAGAAGCAGTGATGGAGTGGGCAGATTGAGAGGAAGATTTCAATTTTGTTAGAAAAGCAAAATTATTAGACACTAATTTGCAAGCACTTTCATCAAACTGTATCATACATGTTTTCACTACCATTAGACATGAATGACCACAATGACAAATTTTATTAGTCTAACTTTAAACACTTTAGAAATACTTTTTAAATTATTATATAAATCATAATTTAGTTCTGACACTAATTATCAATATTTCCAGTCTTATTATTGTACGTAAAAACAGTACAGTACAGTATAAACTATGACCAATTCTATAATATTATGATAAAGTCTAGTGGTCACTGGCACAGATACTCCACAATTGTAGGGGGTAAAATAAACTTTGATCTTACCTTTAAACTATACTTTATTCTACAAAAGCTACATTATTTGATTTATGTCTTTTAAGATAATGTTTCTGTAGGTTTCATTATTCTCTAGGTGTAGTGTACGTCTCAATATACTGTACTATATACAGTAAAATCCCTATAATTCATAGCCTTCTAATTCAAAATCACTCTTAATTTATAATGTTTCGCTGTTATGAAATATACAATAGGTATACTGTACTGTATTACAAATTTCGAAATACTGTACTGTATTTGGTAAAATTTCAACATATGAGATAATTTCAATTACTGTACTGTATTGCATTAGTACTGGGTATTCATTTTAAAAACATTACAGAGTGAAGCAAAACATCAGTACAGTACTGTACTGTACTGTACTGTACTGTACTGTACAGGTACTAACCACAATAGCCCAAAAAGTACTGGTTATGAGAGCAAACAAAATAGTACTGTGTTGATTATAGTAGCAAACTAACTATGGTAGTAGGTTACATTACAATAAGAAGCAAAATAATGTACTGCACTATAAATAGTACAGGTATACCTTGACAACCGATACATGCATATGCAGACTGCATAAGTCAACGGACAGAAAATCAATGGTTTTCAAAGCAATAAATCCCATAAGAATATAACAAATGCAGGAGGTTAGGGACCAGTCACCCCCAAAAATTACCATCTACCTTTGATATAACTCTATTGTACACAAAGTCAAGCTCTGTCAAGTCGGTCTCCATTACCGTATTTTAAAATAAAAATGATAAAGTGTACAGTCGAGTGAATAACTTCATCTTGATACCTTGTTTTGTTTTATTTCTCATCATAAAGAATGGCTTCTCTCATATTGAATTTTTTTATAAGGTTACTGTATTATGTTATGAGAAGGAGGAGAGAAGATAAAGTTATACATCACCTTCGATACAATGTATCCTTTTATTCTCAAGTCAAAATACAAATTATATATTATATTTTTTCTGTCAGTAACATCCAACTTGGACAGACACTATCACACATACAGTGATCCCTCGGTTAACAAG